GCGCGAGGGATGCTCACCTCATCCTCCTCCTCCTCTCGCGCGTGATCAGAGCGAGCGAGCGATCACGTACACGCGCGTTTGGCGCTTCGAGTGCCACTTTTAACTTTTGAAGCCGTGGGGAGTATTTGGAAGAGCTGTTGGTCCAGAGCCGGGGCGTGGAGTGGGGCCGTGGCTAACGCGGCACGGTGGCGGTGGTCATGGGAGGAGTTGTTTTGGGGGGTTGGAGATATGGGGTCTAGCGCGGGGGGTTAGACGGGCGCACGGTGGCTTCAAGCGGTGGGAAGGGCGAGATGGTGTCGTGATAGCTAGCGAGAAAAGGGAATGGAGGGGAAGGGTGGTGGAGGTCTTGCTTAGGCCGGTTTTGCTGTTCAATATGGTACTGAGATGGCTTGAAGGAGGACTGGAGTGGTGGGGTGGGGTAGGTGTCTACTATGGTCTGCGTGTACCGCCTGAGGTGGCCTAGGAAGCAGTAAGGTATCCGGTTTGGTAAGATAGTTCACGATAGTGTCTTAACTACTCGGATTGCAGAAGTGAAAATTGGGGGCACATCGAGCGTCGTCGGAACGGTGTGAGCAAGCCAATGTCCTAAAGCCGTACGGATTGCTCGACCATACCGGACATCAAGCTAGAGTAAGGCTGCTCCAGAGGACTCACATCAACCCCAACACATGACTCCAAATTCACACATCCAACACCCCTCATAAGTTTTGCTCGTTCATTACACCCTATTAACAAGAAAACGACACACGCACCCTTAGTTATCTAGTTTGCCAACCACCCCACCCCCCATCTGTCTGTCCATCCATCCACCCGGAATCGAACTACCCCAGCCAACGCACGCCATGCATTCTTTCGATCTGATATTTGAGCGAGAGTCTTGAAAAGGAAAATGAAAAGTGTAAGAAAAAAGGTTGCAAAGAAGAAAAATGCAATTGGAATCATACACTTTCCGCTTCCCATAGTAACCCCCGTCTAACGCCCACGCAAGCCTCAATCAAACCCCCAAATATGAAAGAAAAGCTGGCCACGCAAAGCGGCCGGCCCGAAAGTTTCGTTGAGAACACACTCCGGGCTAAGAAAATTAGACTACCAACACTTGACAAGATTACTACGTCGACTGGAGAGAGAGAGAAGAAAAAAAAGTCTACCAATACAGTCCATTTCGTACCACGCTTTCGAAAGACCGCGGCATGTTAACAAAACACCAGAAAAAAGCCCCTCTTCCATCCGTTCTCGCCGACCATCGCATAGCCAGCGAGAGAAGAGAAAGAGAAAACAAAGAGAGAAGGTAAGATGCGAAAGAGTTCGTGGCACATTCACGCTTCGTTCCGTAGCCGATTGATCGTCGAAAGAAAAACCAGTGACACAGATCATTTTGTTGCCGAATCTCGAATCTCGTGCTGATGAAACCGGTTTTGGGCGCCCGGCACACCGCTCAAAAACCGGAGCGCGCCATATTTTTAAGTTGAGTTGGATAAGTCTTTTTCTCAGAACAGAATGCCTTTTGCTATGACCATGGCGGACGAAGGGGCAACCGGATGGTGGATGGGAGGCGCGGGAAGGAGAGAGGAATTGTTATTAAAATGTCGCTACGTCAGAACGAGTCCTGCCCGGTGGCGAGAAGAATAAGTAGAGGGGGTGAGATGTATCCGGTGTGCTGCTCCTAGCGATGCGTTACCGGTTATGGTATGTCGATAATGTTGTTCCGGGGGAGTAGTCCTCCAGTCCGTTTGTTTCCAATCATTCAGTCTCCTTTCCAGATGTGTGGGAAAGGATACTCGTGATGGCTGGCTGTTGAACTAACCGCAGCAAAACACCCTCATCAGTTTCTTCATTCCTCCTTCTTTCGGTTCATTCTGCTGGCCCCTCCCAACTGATTGAAGGCCCGGTGTGTTTCCCGTCATCGGCGTCGACTGGGTCATCCGGTTTCCCGCCAAGTTCGGCTGGCTGTTTTGAAACTGTGCCTGTGTGGATCCCTCTGGCGGACCAAGCTCCCCCATACTCTTCCGCTTGACCGCGTCCGGGTGGTACTTTGCTTGATCGACGTTGCGAGGATGGCGGTTTCCTCCCGGAGGGCCTCGAGTGGCACCGGGCTTTGGCAGCTCCTGGTGCAGGCGGTCCGCTGGTATTTGTACCTTCTGCCGAACTTGTTGGCCGTGCACGTTGACGGCGGTCGACGAGTTTTGGTTGATATTGGCGTGGTGGAGATGGGCAGCTGATGGGTGTGCCTTCATTGCCTCCCATCCTTTCCCGTTGTTCAGCTTCATCCAGTCATATTCCCCGTCCTCGACTTCTCCAGTGCTCTTGAGGGCCTGGGTGAAGAGTTCACGCAGGTAGTCATAATCCGGGGTGTCCTCGAATCCGAGATTTCGCACGTAGCTGAGATACTTGTTCAACTCCTCTGCAAACGTATTAGTGACTATTAAGCGTCATGAATAAATTTTACCATACCTGGGAAGCTGTCGCAAAGATCCTTGATCGGAGTGGTCTGCTTCTTCTCTCCAATCTTTTCGTATTTCTGCTTGTTGGTGGCAGCCTTTAGACCTTGCCACGGTAGACCGCCGCGCAGGAAGTACATGAAAACATGCCCCAAAGCCTCCAAATCGTCTCGCCGTGATTGTTCGCGTCCCAAATGTGTGTTGATGCTCATGTAACGCGCAGTGCCCGATAGCGATTTTCGTTCTCGGTAAGGAATGTGCTGCTTGGTCTTGGGATCGCGGTACTGCTTGGCCATGCCGAAATCGACGACATGGATGACATTGGCTGCTTTGGAGCCGGGGCGGCCGATGAGGAAGTTGTCGGGCTTGATGTCTCGGTATATCAGGTTCTTCTCGTGTATCGTTTGTACTCGCGAGAGCTACCGGAGTTAGTATGCTAAATATAGAACGGATGAGACACGAAACGTACCATCTGCTTTGCCACCATCACAACAGTCTTAATGGAGAACTTCCGATTGCAGTGGTCGAAGAGGTCCTCCAAGCTGGGGCCTAGCAGGTCGATGACCAGAATATTGTGCAGGCCTTCCTGGCCGAAGTAGTAGACATTAGGAATCCCAGCTGTGAAAAGTTAGCACACGCACGACGACAGTATATTGTATGGCCGGAAGACAATCAGACGAGTCTGTTCTCTCTTCGTGGGTGCAGAAAGGGACGTGGAGGTTCGAGGGGGTATGGGCAGGTCTGTGCCGAGACGTCGTCGGCATGTCCGCCGAGCAGGACGGAGTGCCTCCGAGGGGCGGTAACAGACCAGACGAGGAGATTCTAGACGTACGGCAGCCGACAAGTATCTTGTATGTCCGGTATTCGTCTCGCAGCTGGGGTGCGTCGCTTTTGCGCGGTTCCTAAGGGCGGACGTTCAGCATTGGCTTCAGCCCCTTTCGCGGCCAACGGCGGCACGTACAAACTTGATGGCGACCTGCTGGTTGTTGAGCAGGTTGGTGCCCTCAAAGATGACGCCGAAGGAGCCCTCTCCGATCTTCTTGCCCACGCGGTAGTGGACGCCGACGACGTTGGACGACGACGAGGCCATGTCGTTTGCTTGCTGGCTGGGTTGAGGGGGTCTGCTTCGGGCCCGCACCGTGGACGGGGTGGTTCGGCAGGCAGCAGGCTCTTCAGGCGCGTTTGGGAGTGTGGTGAGGATGGGGCGAGAGATGGGGAGGTTGGTGGTGAGGAGTCGGCAGAAGTCCTTGCCAGCAGCTTGGGCGTCTTGGGGGGATCTCGAAGGGGCTTGGTGGCAGCCGAGTGGAACAAGAGGCTAATCAGACCTCACGGGGACGAGCGCGGCCCGCGCAGCGACGGGGGCGCCTTGGCACGCTGGCAGCATCAACCGGTGCGACGGACATGCCCTCCACCCTCGGCCACACACGCTGCTCGATTCCTCAGGGCAGCCTGTCGCGGCTCTCCGCTGCCTCGCGCTGGCGGCCGTCGCGCTCGGTGCGGCGCTGGAGCTGCGTGTCGCGGTGCGTATCGCTGCGAGGCCGGCTCGCGGCTGCAGGTCCGTCTCGTCGTCTCGCCGCTGGACAGAAAACGGCAGGCCGATAACTGCTTCGTATGCAGGCCACAGGCGCGGCTCGCATGGTCCCCCAAGCAGTCGCCGTGTCACCCTTCTCGACGCTGCCCAGGTGCACCCGGAGCCGTTTTGATTGCCACGCCTATCAGATGCCCCCTTCGCCCATCGCCGCGCCTCAGCCACTCGTGATAATCCCCGGTCAGGGAGACAAGGAGCCAGCCCTGTTATAGAGGCCGCCGCTATGATTGCGAGACACCTCACATGCCAATGGCCCTGTGTTTCATCTAGCACCTGCGACCACTAGCCGCGCTGTGGTAGAGAATGCAGCCTGAATCGATCAGAAGGGCTGATTTGCTGGGTGCGTATCATGTGTCTTGGATACTTCGTGACGCCTGGAGATAGTTGGTTCCATCTCCAACCATCTACGGCGTACCCGAAAGGCAATCTCCTTCATGCGAGATCTGCCCTAGGTCTCGAATCTCTTGCTCGAGCAGCTCAATAGACCGGCCACCCCTGACAGCCTCAGATCACCACCTACAAGGTACAAGAAGGGAGTCGGCTGTTGGTCCAGTTCACGTATTAGGAAATCCACTTCGCGACTAAATTTCAAAGGGTATGGAGGCGAGGCCAAGTGAGAAAGACAATTGCCCAGGGCTGTATTGTACAAAAGAACCGACGCCATGCATTTGCATAGCTGTAACTGCTGTGCTACTGTTTCGCTCGCCGCGATACCAATCGCTCTGAACGCCGTGCCCAATGCTTGCCCGGCCACCAGATTACCCATAAGAAACCGGGCCATGTGCAGCCCCGCAGTATTTTCTCCCTTTCAGCCTCACTCGTCTTCCATCTCCGTATCCTCATAACCCGCGCTGTCCTCATCATCGCCCTCAAACGCCTCCGACGCCTCTCGCGCCTCTATCTCGGCCCACGCCTTCTCTGACAGCCCCCTCATCTCGATTCCATTCTTGATCATCGACATCTGCACCGTTTGCAGCTTCTGCACTTCCATGTCGACCTGCATCTTCTCATTAGTGGCTCGAACCACTGCCTCGAACCACGTGTCCAGACGGCAAGTGGTCACGTAATCTTGCAGCTTGTCTTCGTCCACGAGGTTGTCCTTGATAATGGGGTTTCGGAGGTCTTCGGACGCGAAGCGAGATGCCAGTGTTTCGGTTGAGCAGCCGGCACCCGCGACAGTGCTGGGAGCGGGAGCTTGGCCTCTCCATTCGCCTGCGAGTATGAGTTAGCATGCTTCGTCCTAGACAAGAAAGCCAGATTCGCGAAGAAACTTACTGTTTGATTCCATGACCTTCCGCAGAGTCCAGCCAAGCGCAGTCGAGATAATGTCCCTTGAAATCTCCGCGTCGCCCTTGTCCGTTGTGTCGTTGAGTGCCTCCCAGTTATCACGGACAAAGCACCGCTTCCAGATGAGCTTCCGCGTGTCCTCGTACGCAGCCTGTGTCAGATCTGGCCGGCAAATCTCTAGCACCTGCAGCGCCATGAAGAACTCTGATCCAGCAATATCGTCGCTTCCGCCACGCGGGTTCTGGCTGATGAGCGTCAACGTGTCGATCAGTAACAGTGGCTCTACGACTCGATGAGCAATGATCTCTTCGAAACTCTGCTTGAGCAGCTGCTGTAGTGCTGGCTGCTCCACGACCAATCCTCCAAAATCATCCATCAATAGGTCCGCAGCCGATGCTTCGTCCAGAGCTCTCATGATGATTTCATAAAAGTGGCTGTAAACCTTGTCTTGAATGGCGACCAGCTTCAACTCAGCCTCGTTCTGAACTTTGAGCTTCTCTAGCTGAGGGTTCGACACACCCTTCTGCTTCGCACAGAGCAGTGCAAGCTTGGCCAGCGACAGCTCCATCTTCTTGCACCAATTGTTCGATTCTTGAATAGAGCCCACTTCTGTCAACATCGTCGCTGCGCCAACATAGTTCTTTTCGCCAACGACTTCGTTGATCCATCCGAGCCGCGCGCGCGCGGGGTCCGCACGCAGGAAGGTGGTAAGAGCTGGCTGGTTCAGGCAGTCTTCCGAAAACACTTGGCTCTGCTCGTTGTTGACGATATGGTTGGAGTAGTATGCTTCGGCAAAGTCGTTCTCGTACTTCGTAAAGTAGCCAGCTATCCGCTTCTGGAGCTTCTTCATCTGCTTCCCCGCCTCCATTACGAAACGCGGGTTGTCCATTTCCTCTGCGTAGAAGTCGCGCTCCGCTTTGATGATCTTCACGAGCGTTGGCATGTCACGGTATTTCTCCGCGAGATCCATCCCCTGGGCCGCCTGACCGATTCTTGTAAGCTCGAATAACAGTTCCGGACGAACCTTTGTTTCAAACTCATGCAGAAGTTGCTGCCCAGTCGCGCGAACTTTTTCGCTGGTTTGCTCCAAGCTCCAGCGGAAGAGTTCCATATGAAGTTGGCAGGAAATTCGGACTAAGCGAGGATTCTCTGCGGCAATCTTCATGACGTTCGTATCGCTCTGATCAGAAAATCTCGCAGACAACGTACGCGCTGTGTCGACAAGTTGCTTTGTGTTTTGTACAATGTTGTGTGTCGATGTCCAGATTCCTTGTATTCGGCCATACCCCTGGCCGAGTCTAAGGATGCCATCATCTAAACAGTCGGGATCCAGACCATAGAGTTCGAGGTTCTGCTCCCTGAAGGTGAATACGGTCTCGAAGGTCGTTAGAACGAAGTCATCGGCTTCGCTAATCAGCTGCGCTAGTAGCGCATGCTGCTTTGAACCAATGTTGTAAGCTTCCTTCAGAACGCGGAAGGCCCAGGGAACCAGGAGCTCAAAATGGTTGATGTCTCTGATAAAGTATGTTCGAACTTCGTCCCGCTCGCCGATTTCAGTCTTCATCTCCGTCTTATAGCGCTCATGGAGATAGCCCACCATCTGCGTCGTGAGAGGCTCTGATGGATACCTGTCTGGATGCTTCTCACCGAGTTTAACGCGCACTTCATGGAGCTTCCACACCTCGAGCGCAGCAGCCAGCTTGGCGGCATCCTGCAGTAATTCCCATCGACTGAGAAACGGCAAAGGGGGATAGTCTGACCTCAAGTGCGAGGCAAGATTCTGAAGAGCAGCGGATCTCTTCTTGAGTTGTTCTTCCATCGACGACAGTCCCGTTTCGACAAACTCCGAGCTCGACGTTAGTACTTCTTGACTGATCCTCCTTGCAGCAATTTCCGCCTCACGCCCAGGGAAATTGTACCTTCCCCGGACGGAGAAGTCGAGTATTTGGTCTGTCTTGTTGCTGAAAAACGTTGCTTGCTCTAGCTTACTTCTAGCGGTAACACGGGTTTGATCGTCGACCGCGGGCTGGCACGCGAATCGAATGATGCCAAATCCGCCAAGGACGAATACGCAGGATGATTCATGGCTCTTGCGGGTCGGCTCCTCTAACGAAGACCCTGCGAAGCGCACATGTTTGTCCTTTCGGAAATATACGGTGTCTTGGTAGGGTACAGGCGCTTTGCCAGTGTCCACCAGCAATTGAGTATCAGGGGTTTCCTCTGGTTGCTTCAGGGACGCCATTACGATTCCGTCGGTGAACTGAATGAGCGCAGTATGGCCAGGGAGCGGTAGCAAGAGCTTCGCAGCTGGGTCCTTGGGCAGTTGTGGTTGTTGGTAAGCGTTGATAGGGATGACTCGGCGAATGACACCAGTATCTCCCACCAAAGATACCTCTAGCAGAGAGTAGTCCACCGAAGTAGGCTCCCACATAGCCACCAGTACGAGGAGGTCGATTTTATCGCGAGTATCGGCAATGCTGACCTCTGTGCCGACCGTGGAGTGTTGAATTATGGCAAAATCCAGAACCTTGACATCTTGACGGCCTTGCTGCTCTGGTGCGACAGCACCTAGGAGAGTAGTGAGGATTTCTGCATGGGTATCCACTTCGCGTTTGAAGATCTGTTGTCCTGCCCAGCTGAGGTCCCAAAGTTGGAATAGGCCAGTCGTAGTCGCAGTGACGATCTCCATCTGTCCCTTCGATTCAGAAGAACGAGCCTTCACGGAAGCAACTTCTTTGCGAATTCCACCTCCAAGAACGTTTTTCAGTCCTCCGAACAGCCCACCACTGCTGCGAATAGTCTGGAGTTGGTAGACATTTATGCTCGGGCGGCCTTGCGAATCTCTCAGAGTCAATTGGGCTATTCGGCCGCTGTTGAAGATGAGAGCATAGCCTGCATGTTCGATATCCACGATCTCGGTGACGGTCTCGCCGAATAACAACTTGCCAACTGATCCGTCAACGCCTTGGTGACGCTGAGGGAAGCGACTGAATGTTTCGGCGCTGTCCACGTTCTCCCAGAATGTGATTTTGCCGGTCGTAGGCGCAACCACAACCATGCCAAACTCGTTGGATGGTCCATTCTGTACAATAGCGCCTAGAGGAAGGGGGTCTGAGCGCTTTAAGCCAAAGGACAAAGGCAAAGCGTGGACTTTGGAGGGCGGCGATGACGAAGTGTAGTCCCATCCAAGGGCGTGTTCGTGAGTTAGCGCAAGCGCATAGCCGATTGAAGGGAGGATAAAGGCTCGATAGGGAACTGCGAGAAGGCGCTGTTAGCGTGGATGCAGTTAGACGGATGCCAACACATACCAGCTGGGTTCTGGCTAAGACGAGTAGGAAAGCCCGGTAGCTTCTTGACGCTGTAGTTTGCGCTCTTTGTCTGCGAGGCATATCGAGTCAGCTTCAGCTTCGTACTGGAGTTGCGACGCAGAAAATACTGACCAAAACGATGCTGCCGTCATCCTTGTGCGCCCGCTTGCCCGTTATTTTCTTCTCGCGAACCGGCATGTCCATAGACACGAATGTAGTCTCTCCATCACCATGGCTAGCATGGCCGTTCATCCCCGCAGTGCCATTTCCATTGACTTTTACGGCTGACGGAGATACAAAGGTCTCCTCCGAGAGCTTGTTGCGCTTTCGATGGGGCTGCAGGCGCACGCTGTCGGAGTCTTTGCGCTGGCGGCGTCGAGGGTTTCGCGAGACGGACCCGTGCTGGCTGTTGATGGTCGAGTCCGGCGAAAACATGATGGGGTTGGGTGAGGGCGGGTCGAAGGCGCGTCTCCTCTCTGGTTTCGATGTTTGGGAACAACGACAACGACCCACAGGGGCTTACCGCCTTTGAGGCTTGGCGGGAGGTGTGGGTAAACTGCCAGCGCTACTGATGCACAACTGACGTGGACGCGAGGTGGTGAGGTGTGGTTCCGGATGCACGAAGAGTTTTTATGTGGGAAATCAGTACTATGTAGGCTTGTTCAAGTGAGCCGGTGAATCCACTGGCTGAATAAAGACAACCTTCCATGTGCCCCCATGGTCACGCAGAGTAGGAGCCAAGGTCACGCGGATGCCTTCAAAGCTATTCGATCCGGTCTGAGGTTTATAGTATTCTGAAGTACATAGTGTATGTGATTGTATAGTACTCACATATCATAGTTGGGCGGGTTCTTCACGTGACTACGTATACTATTACTTACAATGTCTGCCTCAGGCCGATGGAATGAGGAGACTCTGTAAATAAAGCACGGCTCTTGGCATGCACGAGTCCAGGTTATGTGATAGATACACTGAGAGATACAGCCATTTCATTGAAGGATATTTCAATATAAATTGACTGCACGAGAGCTGAATGATCAGCATATCAATAACCCGATGAATGTCTATTCTGTAATCTAACTAGACCCTTGATGAGTGTACACACCTTTCCCAGACTGTCCGAAATGCTTCAGCACCTTGACCAGAAATCTGCATGGGCTGTATCTCGATTACTTGACAAGCTGAAAACTCACATAGCCACTGCGGACGTGGTCGTCGCGGAAGGTTGTGATGGACGGGATGGAAGTTTCGAGGCACACCAGGCACAAGACCACGCCACGACGACGTTGGAAGGGCCGTGCTCCCTCGCGCTAAGGCGAGAATCTGGGGTACGTAACTCAGTCACCCTCAGTCACCTCAGCGGAACACGGCCGGCTGCCCGAATCCAGAGTTCTCCCATCTGCGTGGACGTTGCTACGTGCGAGAATCCAGAAGCTAGGGGCTCCAGGAGAGCCATGGCACCACCGCCAATGCCTCATCAACGCCAAAACTGTCGCAATTGGCGATGACGTAGCGTCCCAGCGGTCGTCTGTACCTGAGTCCAATGTACTGCTCCACCACCAATCTACAGCCCTGCTCAGCTCCAGGGAACGCGGCTGCAGCATTACCAGCAGCTGGCAGAGCTCGCCAGCCTTGTCCGGGCGGCCAGACAATCAATTGACACTGGTCTTTGTGTCTTTGTTGCTCCTGGACCCTGTTTGAACCGAAAGTGCGAGCTGCAGGACACGGCCTTGCTAGGCACCCCTCTCTGCCAATGTCCGACTCAGCTCAGCGAGCTTAGCAGCTGTGCAAATGATATGCTTGGATGCTGTTCGGGTCTGTAAAAGCGCCCCAAGACATCACAAGGAGCTGTAAAAGAGGATGCACCCAGCTGCCTACCCGTGATGCGTGAGTTGCGTGTAAGCCACCGAGTCTAGTATCTTCCTGCCGCTTCGAGTGCACTACGGGCATTCCTTGCCCTTCGACGCGCGAATCCGACCCCGCTCCTGGAGCTGCGACTCGCGTGAGACATGCTGAGGGGAGCTGCTTTGTCCTACATCAACCAATCTTGCGTGCTCATCTCTGCTCCTCAACACCACACACAACAACATCGTCTGTCGTGACTCCCGTCGTCATCGCCGCTCCATCATCTGCAAGGTACGCGCCCGAGACTCCAGCTCCGGTGGAACCAGCAGAGCTTCACCCCACCGTGGTTGGTCCATGCGGAGGGGTCACGAGAGCACCTTATGACTGATCCCATTCCGCCATCGTCTGTGCCTGGCTAACGACTACATCAGCTCACGATCCCCTCGCATCTGCAAACACTCACATCCAACTCTCCAACACACGACAACTTCAACAGTATGTGCCCCCCGTCCCATGCTCCCCCCGTACCATTGATACTACATCACGGATGCCCTACCTTCGAACTCAACTCCTTCACCTAGCTCACGCTTGTTTGTGGGCTTGCTGAAGCTTCCATGGGCACTCATTCATCTCAATCACGTCGAACAATGCTAATGCTCCCCTATAGTGACTCGTTCCCACAAGCAGTACGTCTTGTCGAGTTTGTTGACATACCACGCAACTCACGCTTCTAGAAACGACCGCGACCACTCCGCCATTGCCGATGGCACCTCTGAGCACGAAGACCATCTCCCCCGCTACTTCGCCAAAGCCGGCCACGCCGACGCTGAGCCCAACAAGACCAAGAAGAATGGTGCTGGAAAAGGCAACTGGTACGTCATGCCGTCGACTCCTCTCCCCCGACAGCTCCCATACGGTGCCTCATCATGAGTCTGTGTACGCTTCTCTGCTACTGCTTGAAGTGGTCTGGCGAGTTCCCCGCTTGTTAAAACGATCCACTTCAGAGTCCTTCGAGTGCGTTGAGGTACCTAAGGCAGTAGCAAGAAAGTGTATACAGAAATGTGACGAAACATTGCACCCCAATCACATCTCCCTAACCTCAGACTTCACTTCACTAACGCTTCCTCCCTCAGGGGCCGCGAGGGTGACGAGATCGAAGACTACTCCTACAACCTGACCAACCCGCGTCGTCGCTCCAACAGCAGCACCCACGCCGCCGGCCTCAAGGACTTCAAGACCAAGTTCGAGGTCGTCGAGCAAGAGCCCGTCTTCGAAGAGAGCCTCCACGGTGCCAGCGCCCTAGTCGGCGAAGAACTCGACAAGTCCTCCACCATAAACTCCGCCAGTTCCGTTGACGAGGACGACGCCGCCAACAAGAAATTGTAGTGGGCGTCTGCACTGTCCCCTACTGCACTATACATAGCCTATACGCTGCTGAGAAGGGACGTACGTGCGAATGGAATGGAATGGAATGGCATGCTATTGTCGGACAAGACGGTCTTGCTCTGGCAGCTATGACCATTTTGTTCTGAATCGGTCAAGATGGAATCTTCCTTATTCCCGATCTCTCCGGAGGGCGGTAGTGGCTTCTTGTACGATTCTGATTGATTGTTTGACAGAAAGGATTGGAGGTGACGGGCTTTCTCAAGCCAGGTTCTTCTCTTTCCTTTTCTCTTTTCACGGGGTGTCACAAGGGATGACATGACTTTATGAACAAACAACGTAAAATCGATTCAAATGGGACTGAGCTAATCAAAGTTCACTGTTCTCAAAAATCTCTGGCTCTTGACATGTTGCTGTTGTGAGATGTGAAAGCTGGAAACCCCAAAGCGCTGACTCAAGAAACCCTTCCTAGCAAACCGATATCCCCATTCCATTCCATTTCAGTCTGATAACCGAAGCGCCAAACCACCACTACCCTATTCCCCCTACAAAAACGCCTCACTCCCACCCCCCCTCATAACCGCCCTCAAGCTCCCCCATCCCCTCCGTCCCCTCTCCTCCCTAACCTCCACACTCACAGGCCTCCGCCCCTTACCCTCGACCACCCTCAGCCTCTCCCCTTGACCGCCATCCCCAGCCCCGTTCTCCGCCCCAATCTTCCCCAACGGCCTCCTCTCCCCTCCCACCCTCAACCCCAACCCCAACGCCCCCATCTCCCCAAACCCCACCGTCGGACTATCCCCACCCAGCAGCTCCCTCGCGCTACTCCGCTGCGCATGCGCGACAGACACCGCGACACTGTGCCGCGGATCCAGAACCGCGAGCGCCGGGGACTCTTGCAGCGCGTAGTCCGTTATATTCCCGCTCTGGGAGCGCGAGAGCAGGGAGGAGGCGGTGCGGTGCTGGTGGGTGAGGCGTTTCGAGGAGCGGGGACGGGACGTGGAGTGCCGGGGGTTGAGGGGCAGCGGGATGGGGGGCGCTTCGAAGTAGGGGTATGCGGAGGACTGGGTGCGGGAGGGGTCGCGGTTGTGGGATTTGGTGGTGCTGGAGGAGGGTTTGCGGGAGTGGCGCGCGGCGGAGAAGGAGGAGGAGGGTTGGGAGGTGGTGGAGTGGGCGCCGTGGGAGGGAGAGCGGCGGTGGCGGATCTGGGTGGTGCGTTTGGAGGTGCTAGGGGATGCAGCGAGGGTTTCACGGGCTCTGGCTTTGCCTTTGTCATGGCTTCGGCGAGGGGCGTTGGAGGTGGACGTGGGGCCGGGACCTGAGTATCTGTTCTCCTTGCCGCCGTGCTCGGGTTCCAGTGTCAGCGCTTTGCTAGTGCGCTTTGAGGTCCTGCTTTCTCGGTTGCTTCTGCGAGTGTGGTTGATCCTCAGCGGTGGGAGTACGAATTGGGTCTCTTTCTCGCCGAGTTTATCGTCGTCTGCTTCAAAATCGACGGAGTAGACGCTCTCGCTCATTTCGGCATCCTCGAAGATCTTGCTACTGCGGAGAGTCCCAAGACTGTAATTTATGCTGTGGCTGCGAACACTTTCTCCTGTGTTGGACCGACTGGCTGGGCGTGGGTAGCCTTCAGATATGCCACGCCGCCATGAATTGGGACGCTCTCGTTTCTGGACGTGGCCAGCCGAGGATGCGCTGGAATAGGTGGGTGCGAAGGATCTATGGGTCGGTTGCTTACGTAGACTTCCGGGAAATTCATCCCTTGTGGACCCGTAAGCCAGTGATGTTGACGCGGATTGGGTACGCAGACTGCCGGTGAACTCCTTCCTGTCTCTCTGGTATATAGGCTCTGATGGCCGGACGATGGCAGCCGATGTTGACGCGGCCGCGTCCACTAAGCTGGAAGGTGCCGGATCAGATGGAATCACTGGAGGCTTGTAGCTGGAGGACGATGCTCGAGAGCCAGCAGCAAAGAACGGCGACAGATTTGAAGCGCGCTTCTTGATGTAGCTTTGGCGTCTTTCATCTAGAGTTCTACGATCTGGGACGTTGTCGCTGAATGTGGATACAACGCGTATACTACGACGCTTGTCCGTAGCCGTCATGTATTGGGCTGTGTGACGTGCAGGAGGAGGTTGAGGGAAGGCAGACGGTGTCGTTGAGAGGACGCTAGTTGACCGTGTACTATAAGAGCCGAAGCTCGTGTGGTCGCGTGGACGTCGAGGGGTTGACCAGCTGCTCATGCTTCGGGATGGAGAGTAAGGGCTGCGACCGTATCCGAGGCCAGTAAGACGACGGTTTACTGGCCTTCCGCTACTTCGATAGGAGTTACGATACACGGGCGTTGTTTGGCGTCGTCGCTTAGTGGGTGTACCAGAGCTCTGTGACATGGACATGCCTCGAGATATACGTGCTATCTCTGTAGGTATTTTCATCGAGTCGTATGGGTTGTGCGACGGTCCCATTTCTTCCTTGTAGCCCCAAGATGAGCGGTCAAAGTCCTCAAGGATCTTTGCTTCGCCATCTCCAAGAGAGCTACATCCAGTTGATATGTTCTTCTTATGTTTCGGAGATGCAACGGGTAGGTTTAAGGCGAGCTGTGGAGGGTGCTCGGGTGTCCGCTCCCGACTTTCCCGGACCTCTCCTTTCTCAAGGTCTCGCGGAGGGCTAGAAGCAACATCTTCGATATCTTCCCATTCATCGGAATGCGTAATAGGCCTCGATATCTCCGGTCGCGGTGAGGTTTTGGGCTTCCTCTGTCGCCGATGTCTGCAGAGAAGAATGGCCAATGCCAAGATTGCAGTCAGCAGTACCACCCCGCCAATAACAGCTCCAATGGTAATAGCAGTTCTCTTCGAAAAGTGCTCGGTTGCTGCCTTGTCATTTCCGGAAGCGGCGTTGGAGTTGACTGGATTTTCATTCGATGAACTAGGCGTTCCAGCTGTCGGATCTTTGGCGTCGAAGGCAGAGATATGTATGTTGAAGGTCTGAGAGTCGTGGCTAGATCCGTCCTTGCTCTTCGCTGTCAATGTAGCTTGGATATCTTGTGGAGCAGTATCTGTTGGAATTTGCCCATGGATAGTCAGAGTTGCAGAATCGTAGCTGAACCACTTCGCTGCGTTTCCAACTTCGACAGAAGTTGTCTCATCGTCTTGGCCGATAATGGAGCGGTCCAATGTATAGTTAAAGTCCTTTCCCACAGTAGCGTTTACTTGTCCAATCTCTCCACTGAACAACGGTGACACGAACGAGAAATGAACTGTCGTATTGGCAGTGTCGCCATAAGTGTCTTTAGCAACAACGGTGACTTCTTGCGACATTAGCCCAGTTGGAGGTGTGCCCGTCAAAGCGAACGTGCGCGGGTCGAACGAAAGCCATGATGGCGCGTCAGCCGTCACACTCTGGATATCTCCATCCGAAATCTGGTTCCCGTCCAGACTCAGATGGCTGCGAAGTGCGGTAAAGCTAATCGCATCGCCTTTCGGCGATGATACTGTCTGCTTTAAGGGGCTGAAGAGAAACTCATGGTTGCTGACGACGAGCGAAAACGTTACCCAAGCTTCAGCATACTTCGGGATATCTGACGCTATGAGAACAATATCGAAGGTCTGTGGTGACGTCGATAGTTGAGGGGTTGTGCCAGAGAAATGAAGAGAGCCTCCATCAAAGGCGATCCACGATGGTAGGGGCGTATGATCAGACAAAGTTGCGTAGTATGACAGAGGTTTCCCGGCATCCGTAAAGGTGCTTAGTGGAAACTTGAAGTCGAGTGGCTTAGCGGCCAAGAGCGCTAGAGTAGACGGTCCTGACAAACTTCCAGTCTTTACAAGAACGTCGGACACATTCACACTGGCAGCAGGGCCGCCCGATGCCGTGGTCATCATTGTTGCCTGCATGGTAGCGACCGCACCCGCGGCGCCGGCAGCAGTGATAGTAAAAGTCTTAGACCCTGCATCGTTGGGTCCTGGGGATCCCCACAGAGTTCTGGTCGCGCCGTCCAAAGAAAGCCAAGAGGGACTGTCCGTCAGAGAATATTGCAGATTCTCTGATTGAGGTTCAAATGTGGTCAGAGCGAACTGAAATCTGAATGATTCTCCCACATGCGCCACGGGCGGAACTTGCGAATTGAAGGGGTAATTGACCTGAGGCACTGCGGTCACTACTACCGCCAGAAGCAAGACAGCGGCGCTCCACATCCTCTAAACTCTGGAGATTAGCATATATCCTAACCGAATCTGAAGGTACGTACCGAGCGACGAAACAGTATTTCGTGAACCCAAATAACTTCCAGCAATCGAGAGATATATTCCAAAGCGCTGTCAGCTGGATTAGTATCAGGTATAACTGAGACAGGGCGTCACCCAAGGCAAGTCATGGCCGACCACGAACGGGATTAATGGTCTCCTGCGGGGCGCGCTCTATCGCGTCGGACGCGTCTTCGGTGGCAGGACCTTACGTCCATTCTTCCCGAAAAATTCGACTGTTGCGGGAATCAGGAATGGGGATCGATAAGAATGAGGAGACATGAAGGTGGGCGTTCTCCCTACGCAAGGGATGACCGCTTGATCCAGCCACCTTATAAACTCCCTGGGACAGAGAGTTCAGGAATATGCTAGAGGAAGCAAGAGAAACTTCATTCATTCGATCTGGAGGGCCATTCTCAATCCTGTACGTCCGGGCCCGTAGTAATCGGTGCAGCGGTCAATTTGGCAAAATCCAAGAGAAGCGTATAACGCTCTCGCCGCAGTACGATCTTCATCAACCCATAGCTGAATACAATCTGCCCCATCTTTCTCTTGACGTGATCTAAGCAATAGTACCATTGCTTTGGCGATCCCTCTCTGCCGGTATGCTGCAGAAACACAAATCTTGTGAAGCAAAACGATGCGCTTCATCCGAAGAAAAACGAGATAACCCACCACTTCGGTCGACTCACTACCCTCTACCACAGCTAGGGTCACCTTGGTATTACGTTTTTTGAGCTCAGTGTCAAAATCAAAAGCCTCGCTTGATGGAAAGGTCGTTTTTTCAATGCGTTTGACTTCGGTAAGGAGGCATTGCTGGTCCTTGGGTTTGAACGCCGCCAAGTCGGTGATACGGAAACCGTCAGCCTGAGTAACGGGTACAGTCTTAGACAGCTGGGCCATCCCGAGAGCTCTTGTGCGCGTAATGTTGAGAACGAAGGTGGGTGAACGAGACTTTGTTCGAAGGCCGGCCCGAGTTTCAATTTTCCGCACCGACCAGCCCATCCGTGGATCAACCTCACTACAACCACGCTCGCATCGACCAACATGGATGACGAAGACGAGCCGAGCGACTTATTTGCTTTCAGTGAGGATCTTGTGCAACTTCCCAAATACAAAGCTGCCGGTGTGTCAACCGTGGACTTTGATGGACTGCTCTCGACTCCATTGAAGCTCAAGGAGGACTTGTCGGAGGGATGTGGGGGCCAGCTTTGGCCCGCGGGCATGGTTCTCGCCAAATATATGCTTCGAGTGCATAAAAATAACCTGAAAGGAAAAACGATGTTTGTACGCTCCAATTCTGAGCTCATTTTGATCATAGAATGCTAAGTATGTCTGCAGAGTTGAACTCGGTGCAGGAGGCGGTCTCGTCGGGTTTGTCAACTTCGATTTTGTAGACTCTATGCATGCTAATATCAATCATAGCCTGGCCGTTGCAATCGGCTCCCAGATTGACCAGCCCCTTCTCATCACTGACCAGAAGCCAATGTTCGCCCTGATGGAGCAGAATATTGTTCTCAACGGGCTAGAAACAAAAGCAAAAGCCGCGATCTACGACTGGGGAGAACCAGCTCCGTCGGAAGTTCCAAGTCATCCCGACATCATCCTTGCGGCTGATTGCGTCTACTTTGAGCCTGCTTTCCCGCTTCTTCAAAAGACGTTAGAAGACCTCATCGGGGAGAAGACCGTTTGCTACTTCTGCTTCAAGAAGCGGAGGAGGGCGGACCTGCACTTCATGAAGGCAATTCGAAAGAAGTTTGATGTCAGGGAAGTGAGCGATGACTCAGACAAGGTGTCTTATCAGCGCGAGAACATCTTTCTGTTCGTATTCTATCTGAAGATATCCTCAGCCATGTGCTAACAGCGTTGCAGTCACACGATTACGAGAAAATGAAATGATGAGACCATATAGTAGTCAATATATATGTGCCTCGATGCCCTAAAAAACCTGAGCATATTACACGAGGATTCCGAAGACTGCTTTTGTTTTCGAGTGTCATAAACACATGCTATGACGTCAAAATGGCATTAATTATGAACGTCCTTCTGGTCGGGGCTCAAAGCTGAAGAGAATATGCTAACACCCATCAATACGCTGCGCAAAGCTGCACAAACCAAAGAAATCTAAGATCACGCGAGCTCAACGCTCTGTTTGCCTAGTCTCGCCACTTCGAAAGGAGCATCGCCCTACTCGACTAAATCGTTCTTCCCCAGACTTATTTTCAACCACAAACCTCTTAGATCGAGTCAACGCTTTCAGCATTTTCCACAAATCCTCCTCCAAATCAGCATCCAATACTGACACAAGATCCACCGGGTTAGACGGCGTGCACAGATCTACGAGGCGCACGCACGTTCAATTCTCGAAGTCCTTTCATAATCGCGATTACACGCCATGCTCGTTCCCAAACAAGCTTGTCATTGTAGCCGGCCCAGTTGCTCGAGCTCGGGTCGAAATTTAGGAAGGCAAACGAGACTAGGCGTAGGTGACGAGCGGGCAGTATCAAAGGCGATATCAGTGATATGCATTCTAGACCTCAAGCTGCGCAGAATTAGCCGGAGCATTTCTGTCGTCATTCCCGCATGCTGGATATGTAGTGTATCAAAGCGTGTGCAAGATAACTAGAACATAACGGAAAGCGAATGCAGTGAATCAACCATCGTGAGAAGGAATCATGTCGTTATAGTGCCGAGGCATTCTGACCTTGGGCTTCTGACGAGAACGTGAAAACAACTTGGGGCGAGAGATGTGCTTGATCGACGCAACGAATGAATGCAAATGAAGTCATCAATAGCTAAAAACAAACTCATTTCTTACTTCCAATATACCAGGTGAATCAAGCTATGAAGGCGCTGGAATTGGACAGCACGATGAGTTGGAGGAAGGGAATCGTGAAGTTGCAACTGCGCGGGTGCCCCAAAGGGGGCTGTCTTAGGCATATGCAGTTTAGTCAACAGCAAAGGGCTACGTCTTGAAACCCTACATTATCCCCACACAGGATGCGTGAGGATTATAGCATAGCCCCGAATTTGAAGGCATAGATGATTGAACTACGATCAAAGTTTTAAGAGAACTCGTTCCCTACAAGATGATGGGAATTGGTGAAGTGTCCGTCCCCTTGGCACGGTCCTAGTTAAAGTCGAAGCGGGTCTAGTTTCAGACATCGCTTCTCGTCAATCCAGGAACCTCTTTTCTCCGACTTCATTCCATTTCGCTTCCACACCAGAACGGTTCCTGGCCGATCAAACAAATAAAGGCTCTTCTAGAAGCATCAGCACTGATGATCTTGCCAATTGAGATTCAGCGGGGCCCAAATATTCTAAGGCCAGGCCGGGGACTGGCGACAGTGTCCTGAACTGTGCTACAAGCTCGACCCCTTTGCGTGCTGAATACCCGGACATGTTCGAGCGGATCTATGCTAAATACAATGGCATTGTACTCGGTTGGCCCCGAGAGCTTTCCTCACCTAGACACCTAGGCTCGTGGGTAGTTCGTGAAGGGTCTCCTTTACTGCCCCCGAGTCCTCCTTCTGACAGCTTGAAGCTAGGAGACGGTATGCCTAGTTCTTACTGCGTGTGGAGGCGTTCGGCATCCGGGACCCGCAGGACATACCCCGGCTAGGATTGTGGAGTTGAAGATTGAAAAATCTTACCTCTGCGAAGCATTCCCGGTATCCCGGCCGCAAACGCCAACCCCCACCATTCACCCTTTTAGATGTGGAACACGAGCTTCTAGAGCAATGGCTGCGCCGGATTTTCGAGCAGGAAACCAAAACGTGATACTGCGCAGACGCCTAAGGAGAAATTATGGGGAAGTATCCAGTCTTCGATAGATGCGAAGGGTGAAACCGCTCGAGGACCTATACATTTAGTTCTCCTCACTCAGTGCTTCTCTTTTACGCCTCGAACCTCGATATAGAGGCATCATATCTTGTTCGAAATCCTAGGCGCAAGATTATAAGATGCGAGGTGGAATGGAAGTTCATGCGCAGTTAACGCCTTTGCGTAGTTCATCATCATCGCCAATCTCCCCGAGGTCTCTTTAAGGCTTCCACACCAGAAGTCGACTATACCCGCATCGAGACATTCGTCAAAGCTCAATGCTATGAATATGGAACCAATTCCCCGCCACGAAGCTTTGGTGTCTCCTTCCCGAGAAAGAGGAACCACAAATTTCACGGATACTATCATCGCCATTCCGCAATGGTTTTGTCATTTCGAGGCTGTTCGTTTTCTTTCCGCCGGAGGATCGATATCTGCTTGCTGTACTCACCGCGTAGCTTGCTCAACCGCTTCAGTAAACGTGAGGACTTGGAGGCTCGCCAAGTGACTAGGAGATGAAGGCCGATCCCCGATTCGAAGTTTGCGAGAGGTTGGAATGGTATTCTTGCACTTTCCCTCGTGTTTTGACCCATCGCGGAGAATTCCGCGAGAAGCCACCCGCTCAGCCATAATCTTTCACTTGTGGCTTGACAGCGCGCACGAGTGAGTCTATATGTTTGGTTTAATTCTGCCAGCTCCCCAGCTAATTCGAGCAGCAGGTCAGTCGGCGCAGTTGGTTCAGCTCAAAGTAAGTACAACAACCTGCAAGGGCTGTGAGTTCAAATCCAGCCCTTGCCAGGAATCGACATTATGGCTGTTTCCTATAGATTCGACTGAAAAGTCGCGCGGAAACGTAAGTCCATCGTCGCGGAAGTAAAACTGTCCGGGGTTTTCTACACTCTCCACCGGGAGGGTGGTCTTTTTGCTTTTTGATTCTTATTTTATTTTGGCCCGTGGTGCGGGAAAGCTAACGCGGCATGAAAGGTTGACGGCGAGTTTTCCGCGGTGGCTCAACACACCAACATCATCGCGCAGAGTTACCATCCGATGATTCTGCATTCAGACCAAGAACTCACGAATCTATCCATGTGTACCAAAACATCTTGCGCGCCTTCCGACTAACCAAGTAGGCGCCGAACCGAACCCTGGATGATGTGGTTCCGGAGGAAGTCCATGGGTTGGTAAGTTTTCTTTTTTGCCCTGGAAAGATGAAAGTCCTACTTCCCATTGGTGGCCTCCTTATACGAAAGTTAGTTCTGGTGTGGTTTTGCAGGAGAAGGGGTGCTATAAAATATGGGACACTAAAACGAATGGGACAGAGGGACGTAGAGGTTTTAGCCAAGAATCAGTGGGAGTTTCCCCCTTCTATAAGGCCAACGAGCGAATGGCTCGTGCCGTCCCGCGGGCAAATGCATGTCAAGGGGCCCCGAAGTTGTTTCCAGCCAGTGAAGCGCGTGAACGGTGGAATGTTTTGAGCCTCGCGGCCGTCCATTGGGTTTCATCTTTGCACTGCGCCGCAGGGCTGGTTGCGTCCACTACCTTCGGACCACCACTTGCACCACACCATCTTCGGCGCACGTACGGCCTCCGCGGCCGCAGAACCACAGCTTGCAACATAAGCGAGGCGGTTGTTTCATGGAATTGCGGAGAGGCACATCCAGTGGGTCTCCTGCTGGCCTCTCGCTGCATCTTCTGCACCATATCGGTTTCCCGAATATCCAAAACCAGACACGTGCGAATGCGCGAGAGAACGTTCGAGCAGAGAGCCGAGCCGCGATGAAAAGGCGCAGGCCTCCTTGCGCAGTCTTTTTGAAACCACTAAACTTGCCACCAGCGTCTACATCTACTCCTTTCTCTGTTTTAGCGTACACCAACGACTCTATCGTTCTGATCATCCATCGTCAGAACGGGACGTCCTCCTTGCCGATATATCGAAAATGCTTCCTTTTCAGGATATCATACAGTCCTTGAGCTTCATCGTCCAACTGTCTCATTTCATCTGCGATACTTTCCTGCGAAGCAGACCCCAAACTTCCCCACACGCTTCTATTTCGGCTCTAGAGCGTGGCCCTTCACGTCAGCCCCCGGCCGTCCTCGACAGGACCTCGAGCTAATCCCTCCCAGCTTCTCAAGAGCCCGAACCTCCTTTGGAGTCCTACAAACTCCCAACGATCGATAACCCACATGAGACGGTTCAGAGACAAACACCATTTCCCTCATTCCATGGTCCCCTGATTCGACACGGCCGACCCGCATCTGATGGTCTACATGGAGCAGGTAGCCGAACTGCAACCAACAACTCCGACAACATTCCCACAGCCCATGAGACCTGGCTTTATCGTTTACGTAGATTTCCTCGTGGAAGTCGTCGAGCAGCTTCGGTATCGATAAGTGCTGCCTGATACTCGAGTACACTGAATTCTGTGGCTATGCAAGAAACATGAGCACTGGAGAATGTAGCATGCAAAGCTAAGGGCATCGCGGGATGGGGTTTTGAATGGCAAAGAGGCGTGCTGGTCACGCACCTCATCTTTCACACATAGGTCGGGTAGAATGTCTGCTTTCTCTTTCTGTAAGGTTTGATGGGATTACAACGTTTCAATTTCATATGGCAGGCCCCACAAGGGAAGGAAACAGAAGGCTCGCTAGGAGGAGAGAGCAAATCTTTCAGATTGATCAGAATATAATTTATGAAACCCCTTACGCCCCCTCAATATCGTCCCCATTATCATGAAGCAACCAAAACAGACTCTAAATTCATCATCTACGAACCATCCGAGCTGTTGCTAAGCCTGATCTCCCCAGACCTTTCCCTCCACCGCCGATTTGCCCTTACCTTCACACCCCCTCTACAAACACTCGTCTGCCAACGGCGCAAACATCACCACCAACCACGCCAGCAATCTCCCTGTTACAGCCCTTGTAATTCCAACCCCAAATCCTCCCCCCTCTCTCCCGCTCCCTCCTCGCCCACGCATCACGCGGCCTCACACAACTCCACCGCGCTCGGCTCACACACAGACCTACCGCCGGAAGGGTCGGCCCTATTGGAGCTGATGTAGCGCACTGTGGGGCGTCTGACGAAAGGAGATGGAGATGGTGGAGATGGCGAGTTCTGGGAGCATTTGTGTGCGAAGGGGCAGGGCGAATAGACGAACACTTGATATTGGGAGAGCGGAGGACAGGCGGCCTACGATGGATACAGATAGCCGCCTCTCTACACTTACTACGACACAGCCTCCCGAGCACACTTCCTCCGTCGCCGAGCAAATCAACCAGCACACAACACCATCATACCCCAGGGTTGAGGCTGAGCGGAAACGCTATCACCACACTCCGATACGGCATCTGTGCACGCATCTGCAGCGGCGCGTGCTCGCGCCCCCCCCCCCCCCCCCCTCTTTCTTCCAAATATATTCGTTACAAACATGCAGAAGTGCTCTATACCAAGACGCTCCACTCCAGAACTCGCCTACCGATGTTACCATTTTGCTAGCGCTGACACGATGTTCGAAGCTATTCGACGCTCACGAAGTTTTTCGAAAAAGGTTGCAAGCCAAGTCGAAGTCTGGGTGTTGGGCTCTTTTCCGCTAAGTAGTTAGCTGAGTATTCTGTAATTTTTTAATTTTTTTTCCGGCGCTGAGTTGCTGTGGAAGAAAGGGAGTGATATATAGTAAGTTTGTGACTCGTGTGTGGAGATTTGAGCTAGCGGGAGGAGGACGGTTGGAAGGATTGGGATTGTCTAATGACGTGAATTTCAAAGCGATCACTTGACCCGTGCCTAAATCACGTGCGGCGTGGATATCTGTTTGTATGAAGGGATAGTTTATATCCTCATCAGCTTCTTTCCTCTCCAGTGCAGTGGTCGACTCGAGCCGACCTTGATTGAACACCCGCCAGAGAGGTGTTCTATGGCTGGGGCAGTGCTTGAGCAAACCAGGGCAGAGCAGTCTGCTACGGAGTGGTGTGATGGCTTCGTGGTCCACTGATCAACTCATCCGGTACCGCCTGCCGATGGGAGGAGGGAAGAGAAAAAGTGGTGACAGGAGCGTTCTGGAACATAATGATGCTGAGCAGTACGAAAAAAAAAATGATGAGACTCATTAGAGCATGGGGAGGATACAAATCAAGCTGACTTGACACAGATACACTCGCGGTGAGCAAGCGATGGAGATATGGAAGAGCATGAGTAGCTAGTGGTGTTGAGTATCAGAAGAGGATGATAGCCCACCGCGCCCCGAGGGACATTCTTGCTGCTTCCGAAGGATTTTGAAGAAACCTCCCAATCCTCCATCGAGATATTGCTCATCTTTGTTTGCAATATGGTGGCGGCGGTATGGTTTTTTATCAACCAAGCCAAACGCACTCTGTGGGCCAACATCTAGCCTTGCTCGAAGGCTTTATAGGCACTCCATTAGCGCAGTAACGAGACTGTCGAGGTGACCCTAGCATGACTAAACGATGGTATCATATTGCAATATCAGACTCTGCCCCTGGACAGCACAGCTCACCTCCCTTCATCTATCCAGAACACTTGCTTCCCTAGGCAGAAAGGTTCCATTCCGCCGCATTGCCCAAAAAAACCCAGCAACATACCGATTATATATTATACAAAGACCGCCTCGCAATAACCCCTCCCTTTCTTGGGTTACACGCTCGTTAGCCAGAAAATGATCCAGAGACGATTCATGACGTCTCTCGTATTGCCACCCCCCCGTCCCATTGCCAGTATGCAAACCCGTAAGTAGTTGAGAGAGAAGGAAAAAAACAAACGCAATCCAAGCCAGTCCAGTCTCGATTCGTCATTTCGGAATTGTGCGTGGAAGATGCAGACGCCGCCCCATCCATCCAACGGGAATTCCAAGTTTTTCAACACCTCCCTCCCCCCCAAAAAACCCCAAATCCCATGGACTCCTTTTGGCTCCGGCGCTCGAATGATATAATACAGGAAAGACGGTGGTGCAGGATAGAGAAGATGCTTATGTATTAGCGCTCGCGTTTGGCTGTTGCGAGTGAGGGGTCTAAGACGGTGGCGTTTTTGGGTGCGAGTTTGGCCCAAGCATAGACGGAATCGGTTTACGTCGTGCTTTCATTTGGGGCATTCGCGGAACGCCCTGGATGACTCGTGGCTCTTTCATGAGGGTGGAGTCCAATTTCGCAGGAACTAATGGTGGTTTAAGTTAGCTGACTGTTGGACATGAGCTGTCATGTCTTTGGCTTACTTCTGCTGGTTACCTGCCGATAATCTCCGGGAATGCGGGCGTTGGGAGGTGTCGCAGCAGCAGAACGCCACAAATGGTCGTTCGTGTCAGACAGGAAATCCGTTGTTGATTTGTGGAAGAAGGAAGTGCGACCACGATTCTTCTTGGACAAAATGATCTGATCGAAAAGCTTGATAGTAGGATCGTCCGAACGCTTGCTCTCACGCTCGTGGATGAACTCGTTGAAAGCTGAAGATAGGTTAGCTCACCATTCGAGGCTTGCTATTTCGTGCCGACTGACCTTGCGTATCTTGAAGAGCCCTAATGTATTCCGCAGTCTCGTGAGGCAGGCTCTTCTGGAACTCGTCCATCTTGAACCTGTATATCAGCCCAGATTTCTTCTGATCGCCCGACGCCGGGTACATATGCCGGCGGTATGTGTAGACGAGACTGGCGAAGCAGCGAACAAAAGCCGCTCGAACCTGGTCCGCGCGAAACGCCGAAGGACAGACCACAGCAATTTGATTAGCGCATCGGCCGTGGGCGCAAGCACTGCAGCCTACGGAAATGTCAGACGCATGTAAGGTTGCACTGCATGTGAGTCACTTACCTGTACACCTGTAAATTCCCTCGTCCGATTTCTCATCGCACACTGAGCAAGTCGCCTTCTCATCACGTGGCCGCCAGTGCAGACAATGCCCTTCGACCCAACGCACAGTTTCAGTGTTCCGAACGGGCTGCATGAGCATCCCAGGCATAATGGTAGAAGCGGCTAGGGTTGACTGGGCGTATACAGACGGGGCGTACGATGACGGAGCCCGGATCTCGTGGCTCAGCGTCGATGTCGAAGCGCTCGGAGCGTGCCCAAGGAATGGCTGACTAGGGCGTCGAAGAGTTGGTACCCGCTCAAACCCAAACTGTTTAACCTTGTTAGATATAAATGTAATGGCGGAATCTTCAGAGCGTACCGAGGAGCTCCGCCTTGATGAGGTCTCGAAATGTCCTGATCGCTTTTCTCGTAAATTTGCTTGGAGAGCATATGCAGAATCGCTTCTAGAAATTGGAGTGGTGGGCATAGGCGGGAATGCCGTAGAAATTGGCGATATTCTTGGAGAAGGGGGGGAGTTTGTCTTCATCGTCGACGCTGTGGATGGCCTTTCATTGCCACGGCTGTGATCGTTCCTAGACTGTAGGAAAGCATTAAATATCATAGGTTGAGCACCGGAAGGCTGGTTGGTTCCAAAGGACGTGGAATTTAGTCCAGCGTAAGTCGCTAGGGTGGATGGGGCGGGTTTATGGGTGAAGACAGTTGGATTCTCTGAAGAGAAGGCGTCGTAAGGGAAAGCCTCTTGAGCATATGCAGGAGGTCCTACAGGTACGCCGTATCGGTTGTGATGAGGTGCAGCTAGTTGAAGCAACGAAACAAGCTTCCGTCTCTGCTGACGAGGTAGAGAGATTGGAGGGCCAAAGTTGCTTCCTACAGAGTCGTGATCCAGATCCACAAGAACGTACTCATCCTCAGGGTAGTCGGCAGGCTCGTATCTGCGCTCTATACCCACGATGTACGGACATGGCGCTTCTAGAGTTTGTACGAGACGAGCTGGAAGCACAGGGATGAAAACGCCAGCCCACTTCAGAGGATATAGGAGATTAGCCAAGGCTGCGCTGGCGAGATGAAGCATGGCAGTGTGATCTGACAGGAGGATGATCCTTGCCTCTGTCAGGACATATTCAAACAGGGTGACGACGTTCGGAATCGAGAGTGACCTAAAAAGAGCGTAAAGATCGGTGTTCCGGGACCCGGGCAATTCGTTGACAGCCTCCTTTCGTGCGTAAAGGCGAAGTTCTCGGACCGCAATCTCTACCTGAGTAATCGAGGTTATCGGACTCAGCGCTTCAGCACAAAGGTTGACGACGTATCGCTCCAGAGGCTGCCACATGCCAATCTTGGGTGAGCTTGCAGGCACTCGGAGCACTCCTCCATTGGTCATTGGGACCACGACCGCTTTCAGCCACTCTTTCCAAAAGCTCGTCATGCCACCGTCTCTTCCAAGGACTCCGTAAGCTCGAGGTATCCACAGGCCGGTCTCTCCATCGGTAAGTCCTTCGATTTTAGAGGCAGCGGCGTGCCTAACTGGTCGCAACAGATCCGTCATCAGGCCAATTTTCTCTTCCACAGCGCTGATGTCGTCTTCCAGCTGATCTCGCTCATCGGATCCGGACGCCACGCTAGGCAATAAAGCTAGTAGTCGGGACAATTTTGCCCTCTCTCCAGCTAGTCGTTCCCCAAGGCTGCTGGCCAGCTCCCGCTCCTCTGTGTTCATATTTGCTCTCCGCCAATCCTCGCATTGGCGCTCCAGTCCTTCGGCCGCTTTGGCGTTTAGAGGTAGCCATGTTATTAGGCATATGCCATGCAGCTTGGAATTATCCCCGTTGGTCATTGCAAATCCATGCCAAGTTGCTCTTGGTCGCTCATCGGAGGACATGACTTTGACGTCGTTTGGAAAAGCAAACATGGGCACGTAGTCCGGGAAGGGATTGCGTCTTCGCAGCTCTTCCACCATGTTCTTTGGCGGGTATCGATCCAATAGCACAGGCTCGTAACTCCGCAGAAGTGGATGCATATCGGGGGCGGTTTGGAAGGGCTGCGGGGCGGGGATGACTGAGTTGTAGCCACTCAATCGCTTCGAAGTCCGAACTGAGGCTTGTGGGGTGTTAGCATTCTCTACTATCGTAATGGCTCTAAATCATGGGCGTACCTTGACGGGCCATTGAAGGCTGTCTCTTGAGGCTGCTCATGGTCGAGATGCGCCTCCGTATGCTGCCCACGCCAGACCTCAAGTTCCCCACGTCTTCATTCACGATACGTTGTGGTTTTGGCCGTGGCTTCGAGGGCCGGTTCTGCTGCGCAACAGCGCCGGCATTATACTGAATCTCCTCGAGGAACGTGTCCCGCTCGGACGCAAACTTGCGGAGGGCCTGCTCGAAGTCGGCATCGCTGAGGCCTGAGCCCGTCTGCACGCCCTTGATGGTCGTGCTGCTCCTGTTGCTGGCTGAGCCCTTCGCGTCGGGGCCAATGATGCTGCCAATGGACTTGCGAGGCTCAAAGCTTAGACGGGCGGATCGGCGGTTCGCGGCGTCGCCATTGGGGAAGCCATCCTGCGAGGTCGGGCGAGTGGTGGAATCCGTCTCCAGGGCCTTGTCCTCTTCAATTGTGGCATCGACGTCGACGGGCAGGGCCTGGACGCCGTTTGGCTGGGCGCGCTCGTCGTAGACCTGCTGGGACTCGACGCCGCATATGAAGAAATAGTCGGCCAACGGCGCAGAAGACGAGTCTTGGGCGGACGGGGCTGGAGCCATGGCGGTTGCTAGAGCATGGGATGTCGCTTGCTCGATGCAAGGAAACGAGGCCGGGTGTCGAGGGCGCGCGGCGGACTGCTCATATCATTGCTCGGAGGGAGAAAAGTCGGGGAGCGAGTGGTGGATGGCTCAACGGCGGGCACGCTGCGTGGCAGGTGGACGCGGAGCTTTCTTGTGCAACCGTGGAAGCTTGGTGCCGGCGGTACAGCGGTGCAGCGGACGCGGTGAAGGGGACTCGGCTTGGGCGGGGGCTTGGATGGAGCAGCACCTGCAGCGCGCCCAGTTGGAAGTGCGAGCAGAGCAGACGGAGGGTGTGGAGGAGAAGTGGTGGAGGTAAAGCGTGTAGCCAATCGCGGCGAGGAGGTCCCTGGCCCTGGGCGAGAGATAGATATGCAAGTAACAGGATGGGCCGCCAATTGGCCCTGCCCACAACGGCCGGCAGCCGGCCAGGCTGGTCACTCGCAGTCGTGTGTGTGTCGCACGGTGCCAGCAACACCTGCGACGAGCGCACCACGATCGGATCAGACGCCGCAAAGGGCCAGCGGCGTCAGCGCGGCGAGCTGGGCGACTGAGCGGCAAACCTCTTCGGGCGGCCGTCGACGAGCTGCCAAAAGCGACGCGCAGCCTGCCATCCAGGGCGGCTCGAACCCACGCCTGCGCCGAAACGGGGCCTGAGGGACACTCACGCAGGCGTTCCTGAGTGCTCGACTGCGTGCTAGCGTCGTCGCGAGCCTCTCCGTCAGGGGCACGTCGCGCGCCAACACCACGCTGATCGCCCGCCGCAATCAACGTGCACGGCACGATGGAGGGGCGCCAGTCTGCAGCAATCTAATTCCGACAGCGCAGCGGCCAGCGGCCAGCGGCCTGCAGCACATGGCGGCGGCTGGCGACAGAAGCAGCGCACAAACAGGGCGGGAATAGGGGAGCCAGGCCCAGCAGTGCGCAGCTTCATGTGTTTATCGCATCGCTGTCTCGTCTCACAGGCTGGGCGCCGGTGCAGGCCACGACGCCGTCCCCGGTCGGTCGAGACTCCGAAGCCTCCACCGGGATACGTACATACGTGCATACGTGCATACGTGCATGCGTGCTGCTGTGCGCATGCGGCGGAGCGCTGTGAAAAAGACCCCGAATTCTTTTCCGTCTCGTCCGTCCCTGGAGCTGCAGGGCGAGTGGAGACGCATCACATTCACAAAACCCCACGGCGCCCCAGGCCCGCTCGCATGCTGCTGCACACTTATCTGCCCGGCGACGGTTCGATTCTGGAGAAGATACACAACCCTCCAGCCTGGGGATCGCGCTCCTGCTCCCGCACTAACACAGCTGCACGCAGGGTCCCTGGGCCGGCGACGCTGCTTGGCTGCAGCGCGACTGTACTTTTAAAACGCACTATCCCCAGAACTGCCACTGCTAAACTCTCCTGTCCCTCTCGTGAAGCCACCTCGCGTCGCGCCGCCTCCTTTCCCGCGTCTGCTGCAGCTCTCCCACGTGAACGAGTACAGCGTGACTACAGCTTCGAAGATAGCATCCGCCGACGGCACGCTGCATCTCTTAGACGTCCCCTCCCGTGAATCCCCATCCCGGGCTGTGAGCGCCTAATCCAGGCCACGATGCCGGCTAGCTGCAGCACAGCCTGCACGATAAAAGCTAATCTGCCATATTAACGTCATGAGATCTTCCGTAACTCCCTAATGACCGCCGACGTTTAGTGCTGCGAGATTCCGAAACAGCGTCTAGCTCCCGTAGCTAGTCGCAGTATAGCGTGACAGTAATCCGGGCCTCCCCAATGTGATTAGGGGTCTCTTTGGAATCGGAAACAGTGCCGTCTGCTGCTTGTGGAGGCGGGATTGCCCCTGTGCTAAGTGCCGAGGTGGAGACAGAGACGTGTGGTGTTGAGGTCTCATACTTTGCACGGTTGTGCCACCAGTCCGTCACCGTCGACTAGTGAGCCACCCCGTGCTCAGGGAGCCGCGATCGCCCAACGCGCTCCGCCACTGGATAGTCAGCTGCCCGAGAACCTTTCGCGGGTCGCCTGCAGGGAGCCGTCCAGCGCTGTCGCTAGCCTCGGCCTCGTCTTGCTCTTCGAGGAGAAAGGCAACTTGAATGATATCACGTGGGTTCAGGATGGGCGAGTGTGCGGCTTCCGGGCCTGGGACTCGCAGATCCCAATTCAGCGACGTTGACTTGAACGGTGGCTTGGGATTCACATTAACGGCCTGCGCGTGAGAGTTAGTGACTGATGCTGGTGAATAGAGAGATTCATTTACCTCCAGGGAGACTGCGCTCTCACCCATGTTCTCCAGCTGCGCTTCCAGAGCATACTTCGAAAGCCGTCCCCGTGTAGGCAGATCCCCAGTCTTCGTCCGCACGCTCAAAAGCTGCTGAGCGATGAACTGATACAACTTCCTAAACGTTCGAACGCGGCCACTCGCTGCCTTCCCTTCACCGGCCAGCTGTGTCTCCGTGTACGTGACTGTGACTGCGAGGACATGCGGCCCCTCCTCCTTGAGCTCGAACCGCAGGATCTTCTGCAGCGATTCACCGGGGCCAGGCGACACTTCCTCCTCTTCCTCGGCACCCGCTAGATCCAGAGCTACCCCTGCTGCGACCGAAGGCGTCTGCATGTCTGCTGCTATCCTGACGCCGCTTATGGAGCGTGCGTGGTCCGATTCTTCAAGCTCATTGTTGGCACAGAGGGTGCACGAGAAGGTTTCGCCCACATAAGCGCTGCCGAACGCCTCGGGGAGATTCAGCACAGGGCTGACGATGAATTGATCGTTCACATTGTCAGAAGGGTAGCTTAGCGAAGCTTTGGGGGAGATTCCGAGGTCGGTCGAGTGCGGGAGTGGGTATTGGTATGCCAACGATGGCCGCGATAATCTGACAGTAGACGTGTATTAGCTCAAGCCTCTTGAGATGGGAGTCTAATTCTGACCGAAGGACCTTCAGGCTGACTGTGTGCGCCCCCTTGAGGCCCTCACCTGCGGACTGGGTTCGCTGATGTGCCATTACAGCAACGAGGACGATGGTCGAATGTTGTCCAGTGGAGCCTCGAATAAAGTAGTGGGGTTATACAAATCCTCCCTAATTAGCCGATGTCTTGCCAAGGCCGCCTCAACTTCGTCGCCAACTATTTTCCTTAGTTACACGAATCTTTAGAACAGGGTTGGTCGTGGTATTAGAGGGATGGGGTCTGCAGTTGATAATAACTCAATAGCATTACACCGCTGCGCGGACATGGTGATTTTATCAAACACTCCAAAAGGTTGTGGCAATTTGCGCAGCTCATTCTGCTGTATTAACAAAAGTGCAGGGCGAGGCGTCTTTGCTACTAAAGATATCCCAGCGAGGGCAGTTATAGATGTCTGTCCCGTTCTGGTACTAGGCGTAGAGGAAAACGAGGAACATATCAGACACACCTCACTGTACCACTACACATAGTATGCAACCCTTCAATCATGAAAGGTCTTCGGGCTACGGGATATTGATATATCCATGCAGTAATTGGCCCGTCAAAGATGAAAACGGTAGTACGAGAGTTTCACAGGCCGTGATCTTCGGCCTCGGGTCCATGTTCAATCACAACATCGATCAAAATGTAGGATGGGTACGGGACACTGAACGCCTATTGGTGACATATCGCACTCTCCGTAACATCACCGCCGGAGAAGAGCTCTGTGCGTATGCTAGATCTTGTTTTTTTTATTTTTGGGAGCGTCTAACACCACTCTCAGGCATCAGCTACGGGCCTCGATTGACTTTCAAGGACGCAGATAGTGGAGCCTACGTTCACGACGAAGAAGACGGACTAGAACAGTTGAATAGAATACAGCTTGCGTAGTGATTACACCTGACCTATCGCTACAAATCACACGAGCCTGAGACACTCCCTACTTCCGCACCAGGAATTACGCCTCCCGAATTTGACCCTAGCCGGAGACACGTAATGAAATCTATGCTGAATCAAAGGTGCCGCCAACGCCGATTTAGCAAAGTGAAACCGACCACACCATTTACTATCCTAGCAGCACATCCATTGCAGCTTCAGTTTGCACTAAGTTGCAGCAACTTCAGTCTTTGCCACAAGGTCATCTTCGCTATCGGATTGGTTCTCCTCCGCTTCCGTGCGGAGTTCGTAAAGAAGCTCAAAACAATCTTCCAGCAGCTGGGTAACGCTTCCCTGTCCGTCAGGTATGTCTGAACCAACCATGAACTTGCCGTCTACTCTCATGTTGTCAATCGAATTTAGCTTCATGCTGTAAGGGTAAAGCTCCCGTGGGGAGTCGATGCCTCCGGATTTCTTCACTTCTACCAAACATCGTTTCAGCGTATTCAGTTGATTGTAGATTGGCAGAAGGGCCTCGGAGACTGGTTCGGATGAGATGATGAGATGGTAAATGATGGCGTAGCTCTTCCGTAGGAGATATAGAAGAGTCTGGCACATTGTTAGCGCTACTACAAAATTATGCAGGAATACCCTACTCGTTGAGCATGTAGATCCGCCGGCACATTCGAAGCATCCAGGAAGTTTCCATTGACACGAGCCTCATCTATTCGGTCAAGTTGTCGCTGATAGCTGTAAAGGTCCGTCTCCCTCAGCGACCATGCTTGAGTGAGAGATAGCTTTTCCAGTTTGTTGCGAATTTCCAGCAACTTGTCGTAGGTCTCTTGGAATCTCTCATCGATCTTTCCCTGCCTAGACAGATTGTAAGCATAACTGAGTGCCAGCGTCGGAGAAGGACGTACTTCTGTTTGATAAGTTCGATCCAAAGGAAGCATCTTGAGAGCAAAGTCGCAATGAGATTCTTAGCATCCGGAGCAGGCTCAGGATGTTCGAGGGACAGTTTTAGTTTCCGCGCCATCTCCGCTAACTGCTCATCTATCGTGCCCTCGGTCTCGAGCAGAACGACTCCTTCTGCAGCGAAGCTTTCCTGAAGCTCCACGAGCTGTTGGCGGAAATCTTCAACTTCTGCGGTAGGGAACTGTGAGACTTTAGCCAGATGAAAACGTAAGGCCGAATAGTACTTCAGTACCTTTGATCTGGTGTTACAAGCAGACAGGGAACGGAGAATGGAAACCAGCTTGTCATACTTCGGGCGGAGTTCCGGAGTCAGGTGAGATAGGGATAGCTCTAGCTCTGATAGAATGTCTTGACAGACTTGAATTCGGGCTTCCAGAAGAGTCAAGAAGTTTGGACTGTAGCTTTCTCTGCCCCTTTCACAGTAATCTCGGGATTTCTGTAGACTGGTGCTGATAGACTCCAAATCTTTCGGAGAGAAGAAGGCCGCTTCTTTGAGATGCTCGAGTAGACGCTGCAACAGTGAATAAGCAAGAGCCCAGGATAGCCAACATCGCGTTCTTTACTTACTTTTATCGTTGATATGGCGGAATATCTGGTGTCCCAGGTTAGTCAGCATGTGGCAACAGTGGCAATTATGGATAGGAATTGAGGTTGCGTACACAGCAGGCGCTTCGTGATTTTTGCCTATTGTCAAGAATGATAGCGAGATGAGTTGGAAGCAATCATCCAAAACCGTATCGACTAGTGATTGGCCGAGGTAATCAGCGGCATGTATCGTCAGTTCGTTCACAGACAAGTACCTCTGTTCTGCTCATTGCGCCTGTTCGTCCGAAGCTCGTTGAGTACGGCCACTTGCTCGATGAGTTGATTGTACAAGGCTACTACATCCTCCGACTTGACATAGGTCGACCTGTCACCCTTCAGGAGCTCGAGGTCCGTTCGAATGGAGAGCAGTTTGTCCAGGATCGGCTGCTCGCGCGGGTCCAGTGGTATGCGCACGGCGGGAGAGTCGGTCATTGCTGGTTGCGCTTCAATCGTCGGTTGGGTCGGTGTCTTTGAGATGTTGTGGACGTGCAGTATCAAAGGGGCTGTCTCAGAAACTTTTTGGTGAGGCGGGGAGATAGATTGACATCACCGAGAAATTGAGGGGCAGGTGCAGTGGGGAAGCCGCTGGGGGCGAAGCTTTGGTCTCGTGACGCGTTTTCGTTCGGCCTGGAACCGTTTACAGTACGCCGTATTATTCGCTTAAGTCTAGCGCCGGCCTCCGACGCCCACAACTACACGTCAAAAGTTCCTCGACGACAGCGCACCTCCACCGACTACGACGTATCACGACTCTCTTCACACTGTCGAAATGTCAACCGCCGAGCTCGCAACCTCCTACGCGGCCCTCATCCTCGCGGATGACGGTGTCGATATCACCGTACGATTTCCCCAATTTTCAAGTTGGCAGATGCTAATTTACCACAGGCCGACAAGCTCCAATCTCTCATCAAGGCCGCAAAGGTCGAAGAAGTCGAGCCAATATGGACAACCCTGTTCGCGAAGGTGCGCATCCAGCGGGGTCAATTGGACAATTGAGGGACAACGGATCTGATTCGATACAGGCGCTTGAGGGCAAGGACGTCAAGGACCTTCTGCTGAACGTTGGCTCTGGTGGCGGAGCTGCCGCGGCTGCCACATCAGGCGGCGCTGCTGCTGCCGGTGGTGCTGCCGAGGACGCGCCAGCGGCTGAGGAGAAGGAAGAGGGTACGTGGCACTTTGGAGCTGCATTGTCAGCCTACTTGCGAGCGGTGCTAATATGTCCAATTTACAGAGAAGGAGGAGTCAGACGAGGACATGGGTTTCGGCCTTTTCGACTAAGCTTCTTCATCCCCAAAACGAGTCTGCATTTTGCCTTGGTCGGCGTCTCCTCATTGCGGCGGGTTGGCTGTCTATCCCAATACATCTTCCATTCCCTCGGCAAAGTCGCAGCCACTTTTTCTCCCTGTGACCTGGCTTGCTTTTTACAGTCAACGTTATCCACGGATCCGGACAGATGAATTGAGGGGTGGGCCTGGGAATAGCTATGGGTCCTGAAATGAAAGAGTCGAAAAGTGCAAATATGTTCTTAGGAAGTGACATCTTCGGCCATCTTATGCCTTACGCCATATCGGAATCGTCATTGAAGGAATAACCGCTGCAGTAGATATCTCAGACTCATAGAACTATAACAGGGCCACTCCAAAATCCGGCATTCCGCGTACAGCACTATGGAAGGAATTTATACATGCTTACATGATTCGTAGGGGGCTTGATGAAGGAATAGGCCCACGGCAATTATCCAAAACAGGTCTAAGTCGCGTTCTTGATCCTCTGATATTCTTCTTATAGTACTAAGACATAAGTTTGTGCACTCACTTTCGCCCCAGCTTCTAAATCCTCTTACTGAATTTTGATACACCCTGGGCATCGGCAACGTAGACCGATCAGAAGCGGTTGGAACACCTTAAATTCGCACCCCCAGATATTTCCATTTCATCCGGGTTTTCAATGACGCACCGAAGCACCTCAGACAGTAGCGAACAGGTATGCACAAATTTCTATCTAGGTACAGTAGCTTACCCCTTTGCCAAGCCCAAGGACGGCACAGGTCTAAACGATTTCCAAATCCATCTTCGTCCATCTTCGAAGATGGAACGGAAAATCTCATAAACTCCACAAGCACACTTACTAATACCATCTGTAATCCCCCCTCGTAGTCGGTCCTAGCAAGCCTTATCGTCGTTAGTCTATGCACACTCATCTACCACTTCTTTAATAATGTCGATACTTTCTCAGTTATTGCGATTCTTCTGCTTCGTTAGCGATTTCACTTGGACATCATAGACAGTGGTGTTTAGGATCCATGGACAGTACCGAAGCAATGATGATTTGGTTGGCGAAGGTCATGAGGCAGGTGAGAGTTACATCGCCTTTGACCTTCCTGCCATTTGTCTAATAGCTGCTTCTTCGATTGGATGCGTACACGACTCTGCCTGTCAACAGATGTCGCCCTCCGAGCACTTCAACACTTCCACCACATCATCAATCACAGCATTCACATCCACGTCTTTCGCTTCGCATCACTACATCGTATCGCATCACGTCGCCTAACACAACCGGCAGAATGAGCAACCATTGTGACGACCCCCATTGGAAAGGCGAGAACGGCAAAAGCGAGGATTGGTTCGACGAAGGTGGGAGGATGAAGATTGTGAGTCGGTCCAGGCCAAACTCAAGTATTCTTGCTTACGAGCCAGACGAGGTGTGGTCTACAATCATTCCATTCAAGGATTGCGTAATCGACGAACCACCCACCGACGAGGAACTTAAACACCTCAATCCGGCACCTTCTGTAAGGCTAGACAAACCTGAAGTCCCTGCGTCCATAGTCTTCTTGAATGGCCTGCCTAAAGACACCAAGCAGGTCGCCAGACTGCTCCACCAACTGACGATCCCACAATGCCGCCCTTTCTACCTCAATATACTTAAGAAGCGTAAAGGAATTAAAAGCAAAGGCAAGGAAATCGTGAGGAAACATCAAAGGTTCATAAAGATGGCCTTCGATCATTGCACAGCGTCCAAAAACCCCAATCTATAGATGATCTACTCGACCTGCTTGAGAAAACGCAAAACGGACGTCGCCATCTGCAGGGAACATACCAGATTTGCGCGCAACCACAACAAGCACTTATTTTGCTTCGACCTGATCCGCGACACCCAGGCAACGAAAAGGACTAGCTCAACCAACAAACGTCCAAAGATAGCGTTGAGTGACCTTATTGCTAGGAGTCGGCTTATTTCACCTTCCGACCTCCAGTTATTGAGCAACAATGACTCTTTTGTCAATGTAGATACGACGAACTGTGTGCCCAGAAGGGTCGCGCGCTCTGTCATCAAGGGTATGAAATTGCTTCACAAACTCAAAAATGCAGGCCGTATTGTGCTGTATGATCCGACACTAAGCTAGGCATCAGTGCATCTCGATGATTGCTTGCATGTTGAACATTGACTATCGAAGCATAAAAGGGCGTTAGGTCCAAACAGAAAGCGCGCACAAGATTCACTCGACCACATCGCTAGCACGGCATCGAATAAAGCGTTGCACATACTCCATGAGCATGGGAGACACCTTCCCTCGCTATTTGCGGACGCTCGAAAGGAGTTTATCGCCATGGGAGGCACAGTGGAGGAGTGGCGAAAGGGCAAACGTGCGGGTTCATCCACCGATCCAGAGATCAAGAGGCTATCGAAGACTCGGAGACAATCAAAGATCCGAAGGCAGTCAAAGACCAGGAGATAGTCAAAGATTCAGAGTCAGTCAGCGACCCAGAGACAGGCCGAAATCCAGAGGCAGGCAGGAACCCAGAGGCGGACAAACCCTCAGAGGCGGGCGAAATATCAGACAGAGGGAAAGACTCAGAGGTGTGCAAAGATCCAGAGGTGGGCAAAGGTCTAGAGGCAGTCGAAGGGGCGGGGACAGTCGAGGATGTGGGGCCAGTCAGCGCTCAGAAACCGGAAGAGGACAAGGAAGAGGACAAGGAAGAGACTTTTTTGGGGGAAAATCGAAGGGACTCTACACATTCTGACCCCTCCTTTTGAGCAGTAGCCCTCCTCTACTGACTTACTACCGCAAGCCTGCTTCTTACCGGGACGTTGTGGTCTTTTCCAGGCTCGGGAAATCCGTCCACCTTCACTCCCTTTCTGAATAGAAGGCAATGCGAAGAACCACCGAAGTGGAACATTCCTGTCTGCTCTCCCTTCTTCACATGCTGGCCCTCCTTGACCGTGATCTCACACGTGCTAACCTCGTCCATTCCCACACCAATGAACGCCATCAGACCAATGGCTGGGTTGTCGGCTTCGATGAAGATGATCGCGCGAGTGGCGAGAGCCGTGATGTAGCCCTGGCCGTTGCTGATCCCGCCTTGGTCGATCTCTTTCGTGTTGGGGTCGCCGAGGCCTTCGAATAACGGCTCGGAGAAGAAGGTTCCGTCCTGAACAAAGGCTTTCACGATCTTGCCGGAGACCGGGGCGTGCCAGCGGTGGTAGCTCAGCGCAGAGAGGAAAGCCTGGTAGATGGTTCCGCCGCCAAACTGCTGCGCCAATGGATCATGTGCGAGCATGTCCAGGACGGAGTACGGCTGGCCTTTGATCCAGAACTTGTTGCGGAGCTGGACGTTGCGGGATACGTTGTAGGTCTTGGACTCGCAGGCATTGGCGATGACATTGTCATCATCTGGGCTCGCAACAGGGCGAGCTTCTGGGCGGAATTGGCGAGTGAAGAAATCTAGGATCGAACGTGAGTACTAAGGAATTTGATAGAGCATGCGAAGACCTCACCATCCCACGATTTGTAGCCGTGGTGCTTTGCTGACGGGTCACATTGGTAGAACTCTTCGAATGTCATCGACGTATTCGAGGCCTTGTTGGCGACCTCCATGACATCCTTCGTACCCGTTGGACCAAACCAGCCATTCTTGCCGCTGCCCAACACTTCTGCTGATTTTGGGGTCTGGAGAAGTTCAGTGAAACGCCTCTAGATCATGGTAACGCTCACATACCAGCAAGAACTTGCCCCACTCGTTCAGCACCTTCTTCAGCATGGCATTCACGCCTGGATCCAGGAATGCAGCATGTCCACTACACCAAATTAGGATCTTTCCCTTTCAAACGAGATTGATGCTCCGTACCTTGCGGTCCCCATGGGCCAGTCGAAAATTGCGTTCATCGGCACTCCGACCATGCCCACGTTCTGTGCGGCATCTGTCCATTCCGGCGCTGTCGTCAAGATGTGATTCAAGACCTGTAGCATATGTGGATAATCGCGCATTTGCTTGTGGCCTGTCGGGTCATTGCGGTATGGCCTCTTGAGTGGTACCTCTTCAAACATAGAGTTGAAGAGCAGGTAGATGCGTGTGTCGCCTTCGATGAATTCCTTGAATTCTTGTAGCACCGGCACAAGCCTCTTCTCGTTATTGTCGACACGCTTGATTGTCTCCTTCAGCCACGCTCTGTGGATGCGATGGTCTGCCGGGAGCCATGCACCAGGACTGCCACGTATTAGACGAAGCAAAGACGTTCCAGCTATATAAACATACCGGTGCATCTTGTGCTCATCTGGGATATCATGCTCTTCTCCATGTTGGGCAACCATTTTGCCGAGTTTCCAAGAGGGATTGGTGTTTCTCAGAGGAATGCGGCTTCTGGAAACGATTAATATTGGAAGTGTCGAAAATCCGAATCTGACGTCAAAGGGCTGGGCCGTAGGCTGACCATTTTTGATTTGTTCACAGAAGCTGAGAAACATTACGTGGACTTGTTAGCTCCGTTTGATTTGCAGGGGTCCATCATCGATGACGATCCTGTCTCGCCTCTCGTTGGCCGCCGGTGTCCCCGGACTTCCTTCAACCAATGACCAAACCCTACATATACGGGCTCCAAAAGCTTGAAAAAGCTTGGAACAACCCAAGTCATTCCCGCAAAGGCTTGTATAGGCTAGAGGTGGCTTGACAGGGTGCGTAGGTGCGTAAAACGCAAGAAGAGAGAATGTGAATTGCAATGTCTTGCAATTTACATCCTAAACCAGTAACTCTTCTCCCAGCCTCTAGATTACGCCCTCGAGACCTTGACATTGCAGAAAATCATTTCCGCATAGGCTAGAGGTGGCTTGATAGGGCGTCTAAGTTTGCAAAATAGTGGTAGAATCAATGTAAGTTGAAAGGTAATGCAAATTGCAGCCGTATAAGATATCGGAGTATCTAGTTCACGCCCTCGCAACCTTGACATTGCATAAATTTCATCTCATATAAACCAGAGGTGGCTCTACAGGGTATATAGGTGTGCAAGATGGTGGTAGACACCGTGTAAAATGCGAAGTGAAGCAAATTACAAGCGTATAAGGTATCTAATCCCGGAGTATCTGATTCGCGCCCTCGCAACCTTGACATCACGTGAATTTAATCTTATATAGGCTAGAGGTGGCTCAATAGGGTACTTAGATACGCAAAACAGTGGTAGACACGATGCGAAATGCGATGTAATGCAAATTTCAAGCATATAGGGCATCTAGTAGAAGGGAGCCTAATTAACACCCTCAAGACCTTGACATCGTGTGTATGATCTTTTGGATAGGTGTGAGCTGGTCCGATAGGCTACCCACGTAAAATGAGCAGATGTGAAATACGCTGGGCGAGAATTACACAGATATAGGATAGCCTATTAGGGGTCCCTAATTCACGCCGCGTACCCCTAGTAGGGGTACCCAACTCACGCCGTGTACCCCTAAGAAAGGTGTATACTTCACGCCGCGTGCCCCTAAGAGGGACGCGTACTGCACGTAGGGTAGCCCTCTTAGGGATAGAGATTCACGAAAGGGTACCCCATTCAGCAGGCCCCAAGTCACAATCTTGGGACATTTACTACTTCTACCATCATTTCACGTAGGCGTTGTGAGCACGCTGAGTACCATTGTTCTATTTTATTACAGCAAAGAGGGGTCCTAGTGACCAGTATCAAGCAGAAAGACCGACAAAAACAACCAAATACCGAGCAAAAGTGGTATCATAAGCAACATGACCGCCCGCTCAGAGGCACCCATTTTGTACTCCGACCTATGCCACCGTGTCCACGCTATGCCAGAAAGTAGTTACAAAAGGAAAGAGAGAGGGGGACCTTTGGTCAATCAAAAGAAATCTTCTGCACCACGGCGTGGGCCACCGCGGCCCTTGTTCTTTGTGTCAAAGAGCTCTCTGTCCTCGAAAAGCTCTCTGGTCTCCTGTGCAGCGCCACGAATGGTGAACCCCTCCGCCTGTCCCTTTTGGTCGGACTTCCCGTTGTTCGTGATTCTGCTGGCTAGGTCGCGTGGTTTCGTGATGCGGTCCTCGAGGCTTGGGGGACCACGCGTGATTCGATCTGCCAGGCTGCGTGCTTTGACTGGCGCTTTCTGGAATAGCTCGGGAACATCCTCGCTCGCGTCGACGGCATCGCTGCGGCGGTGGTTGCTGTTGGGAGTTCTATTGGGGAATAGCTCCTTAGATCGCGGGGCAGAGGGGGACTTCTTTCCAAACAACTCCCTGTCGGTTGTGAAGGTGACCAACTTAACTGGGAACAGTTCCTTTCCACGGGTGGTTCTGGCGTCCTTTCGGTACGATGGGGGAGTCGGGGTGCGGCGACGGATCTTGCGACGGCTAGCCTCCTCGTCCGCCTCAAAGCCCATGCGGCCGTCGCCCTCAGGGTTCGGGGATGCGCTCCTATTGCGCAGGCGGCCACGGTTGTCCTCGCGCGAGAATTGGACCTTCTTGCGGCTGCTGGCGTCTCCAAACAGCTCTATGTCTCGTGTGCCGGGGAACGAATTGTGGCGCCTGTCTCTGGATCCAGCATCCCTATGCCTCGAGGGTTCTCTTGACGAGCCACTCGTGTCCTCTCCGTAAAGGCTGACGTCAAACTCGCCCTCACCGTGTCGGCTCTTGCGTGGCGCGTCCAGGTCGCGGGGTTTCTTGAACCTTCCCCTGTCATCCGAGCGGCTGTCGCGTCGTCCGTTCTTCTGGTACCACTCGCTGTGCTTACGGGCACCCTTCTGCTTCGCGTCATAGATACCGGCAAGGCGCACCCTCAACTCGACGTCTGGTCGGTATGATAGCTCTTTTGTCGACAGGCCTGTCTTTGGAACTTTCTTCTCCTCCCAATCCTCAACATTCAAGCCGGTAAATGCATTCAGTGCCATTTTAGCCGCCTCATCGGTCACAAATTCGAGATTGGCCGACGAGTCATTGATCCACTCAACCCTCAGGAAATCCCGCGTGCAGCCACGCTCGGCGATGAAGGCTTGGACATCCTGCGTGCTCAAGGTGTTGAGGCCCATGATATGCACTTTTCGTGGGACGGTGTCTGTGAGCTGTGACATCGGGGCCGGGCGGGGGTCGTTGAGGCGTTCGAACGGGTGTTGTAGGGCTCGCTGTCGCTCCAGCTCTTCCGCTTCTTTCCACTGCAGTGACGTTAGATTTGTGCAGACAAACAGTGGGATGCACGACGCATAGGCGTACCTCTCTCTCCTCTTCCTGCATCTGCCGCCAGACTTCGGGGTCGTTGATGTCGAGCTCAATGTCGCCGACATCCTCCATGTCAACATCCGTGCTGTAGTTCTGCATGTTGGTAGTCTCGTTAGCGCCAGAGGCCTCCATGGCGACGGTGAATTGTGAGCGGCGCCGGCACGACGACGGCGGGTGGTCACGACGGCTGGTGACTGGCAGAGACGATGAGGTTGTGGTGTTGACGCGCGCGGGCAGCTTTGAGGCTCAGACGTTCGTTAAGTAGCGTCCACGCTAAGCCCCGCCCGAAGTTTAGCCTGAGGTCCGTGCGGATCGACGCTTTGACCAGGCTCGAGGTAGTCGAGCTAACCATCAAAAGATGTTGTATTGGTGAGAGTGATGAAGCTGGCTAATGGTGGTAGATATAGTCAGAAGTTGCTGAGTAAGCTGAGTGAGCTGTTCGACTGGAAGGCAACAAGCGCTCGGATTTCAGGTGTTGAAGTGCTGTTTTGACAGCGAACGTATGGGTCTGACGACTTTCACACCTATTCATCTTTCAAGGTTCACGATGTCATTTCTGCGAGGCTGTAAACCAGGTAGGTCTCTAGCTGTGCTTCATGAGCCTGAATTAGAGACGTCTAAACGCTGTTCTGATAGGACAGGTATAAGTTTGTGGACTCTCACACCTACTCATCTTTCAATCTCGACGATGTCATTTTCTCGAGCTCGTAAATTGAGGGGCTCTCTAGTCATGTCTCATGACTCTAGACTAGAGGTGTCGAAATGCTGTTTTGGTAGTGCAGGCATAAGTCTGAGGGCTCTCACACCTATTTATCTTTTAAAATTTACGATATCATTTCTTCGAGCTCGTGTACTTCTAGTACAGCTAGCTGGCGACGTCTGAGGCCGCCTAGCGCATTTTCAGCTCCTCCAAAATGCCTCCCTTCCGCCCTATTGCGAGTTGTGAAATGTATTGGAGGACTTCAAACGTCGGCACCCAAGTGTACAAACTTACCGATTGACGCCATTCAGTCCATCATTCACCACGGACTCTAGATTCAGAAGGGTTTTCGCGAGGTTGATAAGGCGGAGAAGAAGTAGGCCGACACAAGTGGACAACATTGTAAGCTAACTGCGGGGATGGATGGACTGAGAGGTGATGATGATGCTAATATGGGGATGTAGACTAGCTATCACCGACAAGCCTATTGGAAGGGGACTGAGGTAGTTTTCTTGGGATGGCGATGAGTTCTAGGGACGATGTTACAGTATTAGGTCATAAGTCTGGGCATACGGATACACTACTGCTTCGACTTCACTCTTGCTCTCTCCATACCACTGTGAGGAACACCCTAGCTAGCATGTCTTCAGTTAGTCAAAAGGTAGTCTAATATCCACTGCATTGACCTTGATATCGTAATTCGAGTGTCCAAAGCATGACTGGGTTACCCCAAGCAGTTATAGGGAGTTCACATTCATGTCTTGGTACTGTATCATGATGATGGTGGCTTTTGCGATTGGTTGCTGGGGCTATTGGTCTTTCGATTGCTGATGGGGGGGATGAAGCGGTTGCGAGCGGTATACAAGGCACACGGCTTGCTGAGTCACAATAATACCACACATTCATCTTGAGCAAACTCTTTCTTTGTGTGTCTTGTGTAGTTGCGCTTGTTGCGAACCCACGTGTACTATGTCAGAAAAAAGAGAAGGCAGTTAAGGTAGGGCAAAAAGGTGTCGGGATGCTGGGAGATTAATGAGTAGGGATGAAGCGAGACGCCGGTAAACCCAATTGAAGCTGCTCAAGCATTACTGCTCGTACACTAGTACTTACAAACCTTACTATGATCCTGAGACGCTTGGAACGTTATTATAGTGCCTTACCAAAAGTCTGGTACCGTTGCTTACCACCGTTGGAGGTGCTTTGACGTGTTCCTCAGATTTTTTATAAGTCCGTAAGAGCTTGAATTGAAGGAGTTTCCTACACTGACTGTCGACCTACTTGCCGCTGTTGGTGGTACTCCAGCACCTCATAATAAATCAGGACGAGATGAAAAAGACGCCATACCCAAACTTGTGTCCTAATACTGCACTCCTCAGTAGAGAGAAGTGCCCGTAAGCGTTACATTGGTAACAAAAGTAGAATCATAGGGGTGCCCCACTTCCCCGCGATGTACGTCGTCATCGTGACCATCTTTGCTAGTAATCTGAGCGGTTATGTGGCTTCTTGCAGATAAGCCAAACCGCGGTTGAGGAGCCGGTGATTTGGAGCATTACCGGTGCGTGCTCGGTCCCAAGGTACGGGCCGGTCCGCCATGCGAACATCAGGAAATGATAAACTTGTCCAGTGTTCGAGATAAGAATCATGAAATCCGAGGTTCTTGTAATCAGGTGCGTGGGGCGATCCATGGTACGGGTGTCCGAATATGGAGTCCAGAGACTTGTCGAGCCTGTCATAGGCTAAAGCATCTCTTGAGTTCTGGATCCCTTATTGTGGGCGAGGTTGGACCCATGATCAGTGAGATAGCAGGTAACCAGCCCGCACATAGGCCCGCGTGCACAAAACCCATCCGCGTCTTCCATCTCTTCTCTTCTTCAACCTTCAAAATCCTTCACACGCATTCTTCACTCCTAAACACATTCGAAACTTCTGATAGGCTTGAAGCCTATACCAAATGGTGAAAATGAGCAAGATATTCCGGCATTTATCCCCAAAGAAGGAGAAGGGAGCTGAAGATACAGTCCGCGAAGGGTCTACTGAGTCGAGTTTGGAAGGCCAGAATAGCCATGATGGACACGTACGTGCTAGATTGTCGTTTGGATATGGTGATCGTACTAAGGATGTATAGGTTGTTGACCCAGTGTTCGGCAACGAAGATGGCGACGGGATCCATTACAGGTCGATGGAGTGGTGGTGAGTGATCTTCGCTCGAATCATTCAGCCATTATCGAGACAAACTGACCAATACTATAGGCACTGCGGTGTCTTGATGCTTGCGGAGACGATATCCCTGGGCGTTTTGTCCTTACCACAAGCAGTCGCAACGCTTGGGTTAGTCCCTGGCCTCTTACTGATCTTCTTCCTCGGCATAATCGCCTACTGGACAGGCTTTGTCGTAGGAGAGTTCAAGAAGGCATATCCCCAGGTCCAGAGCTTTGCGGATGCTGGTGAGATGATCGCTGGACCTGTCGGTCGAGAGATCATGGCGGTCTCCCAAATCCTCATCCTGATCTTCATCATGGCCGCCCACGTCTTGTCGTTCTCTATCGCGATGAATGTCCTGACTGACCACGCAATATGCTCGGTCTGGTTTGGGGTGATTGGCACGGTCGTGTCCTTCATCTTTGGCCTTCCCCGCACGTTTAAGGGGGTTTCATGGGCATCGATATTTTCGTGCATATCTGTCATCGTCGCCGTAACCGTCGCAATGATTGCCATCGGGATTTCGAAGCCTGATATGGGCCACATCGTCGCTATCCGCCCAGACGTCCCGGTGATCAAGGGCTTGGGTCCAGTCATGAACATCATCCTCGCATACGCTGGCCACGTCGCCTTTTTCTCGTTTTGCGCCGAGCTTAAGAATCCCAAGGACTTCCCAAAAGCTCTCGCCTTCATGCAAATCACCGCCTGCACGTTCTATATGCTCATCGCGGCCGTCATTTACTATTATGCCGGACGCGGCGTCGCATCACCTGCTCTAGGCTCTGCATCGCCTATTGTGGCCAAGGTCTGCTTCGGAATCGCGCTGCCCACTATCGTCATCGCGGGTGTCGTCAACGGATCGGTAGCTTGCAAGTACCTCTACGTGCGCTTGTGGAAGGGTACAGACGTCATCCACGAAAGCGGGATTAAGGCCATGGGAAGCTGGTTTGGGATTTGCGGTGTGGCGTGGGTCGTCAGCTGGATAATTGCAGAGGCCATTCCGAGCTTCAACTTGCTTCTGGGTTTCATCGTAAGTCATATCGCCACCCTTCGATCGATTGAGGTTGAATAGGCACTGACATCAGCCACAGAGCGCCCTCTTCTGCTCCTGGTTCAGCTGTAAGTTTTTTGGGGTTGGTGTCGCGTATTCGTTCTAATGCTTAACAGATGGTCTTCCTGCCGTTCTCTGGATCTACATGAATAGGACTAAGCTGTTTTCATCAAAAGTAAAGACGGCAGGTTTCGTCTTTAACGTGGGGGTTTTCCTCTTGGGCGCAGCCATGGTAAGACTCATTGTTCAAGCTACCCTTTTCTTTTGCAAAAAGCAGTACTAATTCACGGTATCGCGTTCTGTAGTGCGTTCTAGGTCTCTGGTCCTCAGGCACTGCGCTGGCGTCTGGTGCTGCTGGTGAGGCCTTCTCATGCAAGAACAACTACAGCGCCAAGTCCGCTGCGGATTTGAAGTAATGCAACTGAGTGCGGCGCGTTTTGCTCTGACAGTAAATAGAATAGAGGTATGAAAAGTGCTGGGATGTCATGTTTAGTTAGAGAAATACCAATGTTCAATGTTTGACACCCAAACCTGAACGCGAGCCGATGCTGTGTTTGTCGGCCTGCTGAGAGAGTGCTAAAGCAACCTCAAATGCGATGCTCATTTTTGATATTTGAAGTTGAATGTACGTAGGTAAGGATTGGTGTCTTGATACATTGAAACACGGCCTTTTAACAAAACGCCTTGAAGCGGGCATGAAGGCCTCGTTTGTCTCCAAATTTAAAATTGTAACTCATCCATCCAGACAATCAAGGCGCTTCAAGGAGGGGTGTTGTGGACTGAAGTGGTGAAGGAGGACATCGGGATGCTTGATGCCGCTCTACGGGAGACAGTGCATCCGCCAGCCCCCTCAATCCTCACCTAGGCCTGCAACACCCAATCAGCACGGCACGATCCATCGAACGGAACCAGGGGCAGCGGCGTCGCTTTCGCCCCAAGAACACCACTATCGCGCTGATTGTCGACATGGCTGCGCGCCAAGGGGAGCTTGTGGTCGACGGCAGCCATCCCGTGTCCCCCAAGCTGAGCTCCAGAGCCTCCCCCTTCTTCAACTTCCGCCCGTGAACTTGGTTTTCCCGTGTTACAGGCCCCCAGCGCATCTTCTGTGTCTTCAGATCGTGCTTCTCGTGATACGACAGGTACCACCACAACCAGGTTCGTAAGCGCCAGCAGGGCATTGAGCATTTCCGTGTCGCAGCACCCCAAACATCTTTCCACCCGCTTCTGCCATATAAATCCGCAAAAGACGCTGATCGCGAGCATCTCCAGCTCCAACATCGATTTCCACGCGCAACTTACACGTCCGTCGCCATGGTCGAGCTCCGAAAGCGCAAGACACCCCCTCCCGCGCCCGTGCGGCCAGCAAAGAAGAAGGCTGCCGCGAAGCCCGCGCCATCCAAAGCTGCAAAAGTCAAGGAGGCGGTCGCCGCGAAGGTTGAAGCTGTCAAAGAAGCCGTAGTACCAACCAATGGCGCAAAGAAAGCATCCCCAGCGGGTGGCCCCCCGGCTGTCGGCGACATTGTTGACTTAGCGACATTCGGCGGCGAGATCGAGACACACGAAGGCGCGAAGACGACGCTCAAGGCGCTGGTTGAGGAGAGCAAGGGCGGTGTTGTGCTGTTCACGTATCCCAAGGCTAGCACCCCAGGATGTAAGTGACCTCGTCTTCAATGCGCCTCTGTTCATCATGCGTTTCTCGATATCCGCTTCTTAAATATCATTCTAACGAGCATACAACAGGCACAACTCAAGCGTGCCTCTTCCGCGACTCTTATACCCCCCTAACCGCGACGGGCTTCCAAATCTTTGGCCTCAGCTCGGACAGCCCCAAAGCCAACACCACCTTCAAGACTAAGCAGAACCTCCCCTACACGCTTCTCTGCGACCCTTCCGCCACGCTCATCAAAGCCATCGGCCTGCAGAAGGCACCCAAGGGCACCAAGCGCGGTGTCTTCGTCGTTGATAAAGAAGGCAAGGTGCTAGCAGCTGTGACAGGTGGACCAGCGGCTACAGTTGATGTTGTGAAGAAGCTTGTGGGCGGAGAGGGCGCTGTGCCGGCTGAGGCTGCTAAGGAGAAGGAGGATGTAGCCCTGGCTAAGACAGCGAGCGAGGTTGCCGACACCGCGGCGAAGCTGGATGGATGATCGGAGCACATATGTTGCCTTCGTAGCCCTGCTTCAGTAGTCCCTAAAACCGATGGCTTTCGGCAATTGGGAGTTTGATTGGATTGTATGTGGACGGGTATTGGTTTGTTGAGATCTTGAGCGTCAGGCCTTCCAAAATCCGTCTACTCCAGTATCGGTATAACTCATATTCTTTCTATCATGTTTTTGGAGTGATATCACACGTCGAAACTGTTGCCCGGTCGCGATAGCACAGGCCTTTCTCTGCTTGTGGTGCTTCAAGGCGCTTTCAAGAATTTGAACTGGACGCAAGCTCATCACTTTGAACAACTGATAAACTTGTTAGGCTACTTTGCACAGCAACAATCGAGCTGTACGCACAGCCTAGGGCCGTTGAGGATTTCTCGGTGCTCGCAATCGCCTGAAAGCAGCCCTTCGCGTACGGGTTTTCTGCGTCTGATTTGTTGACCCCACCTCTATCTGAACGGACCAGGGATATTTTCTTTTGACTTTTTCATCAAAAATAGCCCTTGTCTAGGAGAATGCAGCACCGGTGTCAAATCTGTTGTACGAGCTGTGGTTGTTGATTTATTTGCGAAAAGGTGGTTGGCGCGTCGAAAGAGCGAGCTCAGTCCCTCTCAGTCCTCAACACTTAAGCTCGTCTTGGCGGCCAAGAGCTGCCGAATTGAGCTGCCAGCGGTGACAGCACGGTGCGAGAATTAGATAGTGCCGGCACCATATAACTGCAGAGATCCTCTAAATAACCAATCTCAACCTGTTGACTGACTACAACGTCCCGAATTGATGTAATGCTATGTAGTGAAAGAGTCACAAGTAGTAGTAAATGAGCTGCATTAGAGCTATTTGGCCTATAAGCACTCAACCGCAAACAAGTATTCATCTAGATAGCGTATTGCCAACCATTTTCTGTGCTATACAAAAAGTTTTGCATGGCAAGCATAATGAAGTGATAGCTCAGCACAACCAATCATAGCGCTCTGGTTCATGCGCCGAATTTTCGCCGATACGATCGAAGCTCACTTTCAGAAGGAGCGGCGACCGTCTTCCTCCACTTCTCATCCTCATCAACATGGCGCCTATTGTTGTTGATGTTGATTTCAATGACCGTCGAGCATGGGACGATAGTGCCCTGGTTAGCTCGTGGGAGGGCGCTCTTGCTGAGTACAAGGTATGTTTCCAGGCACCACCTTGGTCTGAAGCCGCTAATATACGATGTAGAGATATCACAGCGTACATCTAGAAGGGAAACGAGTCGAAGATGTACTTAGCCCAGAAGAGTTGATAGAGTTGAGGAGGTAAGATACCCCTGTACTGCTTTGAAGAGACGACTGACATGAACAGGGAGCTGGGTCACGAGGATGAGGAGATCGAGGTGGACAAGAAGCCCAAAAAGAAGAAAGCCAAAAAGCCGAAAGCTTCTGGAAATGACCATCCAATGGCAGACGAGAGCGCTGTTCCCGAGGAGATGAACGGAACCGAGATGGAGGACCAGGTGGGATTTGATATACCTGCAGCGCAGTCTCAGGCATTGGCTAACTCCAAAGAGCCAACTACATCCGGCCAGCAGCAGCCTCAGGAATCAGCTGATTCTGCTGCACCATTGCAGAATACTGCTGCATCCGCTGCATTGCCGCAGGTCCTTCTAGCTACTGGTAAGTCTTACTTTCTGTCTCCCGTCATGCATCACATAGGCGAAGATATGCTGACTCTCGCAGTCCAAGACGAGAACATGAAGAATATCATGATGGCTTGGTACTATGCTGGATACTACACCGGCCTGCACGAAGGGCAGCAGAAGACTGTGGAACAGAAAAAGTCTTGAGTGTTTGCAGACCCGACGATCGTCGGTCTGGAGGTAGTTTGGCCAGACCTTCAGGTAATTAAGCAACAAGCTTCTTTGCAGAAGAAACTCCACTAGAAACTCAGTGCCTATTGGTGAGAACGTCGCACTTGTTCGTCGAATCGGGGCTGATCTCCACAGTATGGCGGAGGTGTGGCACAGATTGCTTCACGCAGCTCAATGGGGCAAGTCGAATTTTTCGACCACGAAATGTCCCTCTCGTCCATCTATGCGCCGTACCTTTTTCTAAGACTATTTACAGGCACAAGGGTTGTAAATCTCAAGCTAGACGGAAGCTTGGCCGTCTTGTCGCGGGCTCGGGCTTCAAGCGATGCAGCCCCGTGCGCTTGAGACGTGGCTGCGACACCAGGGGTCAACACCCAGACGACTCTCACACAGCAACCGTCTGCGGCGCTTCGCCATCGTGACTTCAAACAGCATCATTTGCTGCGTTTGCTGCTGTTTTCACGGAGGCCAGCCCAGCCGAGGGGCGGTGTTGTTTCGCCATGGGGTCCCTTTGCGACTGCATGTTCTCAAACCGTCAATTTTATGCTACAATATAAGCCCTCAGCGCCCCTACATTCTCTGCCCTCATTCAACCTCGATTTCCATTCTGCGTGCTTAATCCCTCTCTCATTCTCGTTCCTTTCAGGTTTTCTTATTACCGAGCCGGCCCTCGCATTGCGCCTTTCAGTCCTTCGCCTTCACCCAACATACCATTTTACAACCCGCAGCGCGGACGCTTCCACTCTTTTTAAGGCCTAATACCACAACTGAACATTCAAAATGAAGACCTTCGCCATCCTATCTCTGGCCATTAGCGCCGCCTCTGCCACTTATAATAGCGCAGTCGCACCGTCTGGTACTGTAGCTGCTGCAGCGGGCGCTGTGACACATACCGTGAGCCTAGCCTGGATAAGGAGATTGAATGGAAGTCTAACAACATGACAGGTCACTGTAGGAGGTGTCAAACCAGCTGCAGACCCTTCCGGCACCCCGACCCCGATATTAGGCTACTCGCCCGAGGCCATCAGTGCTGCCGTAGGCGATGTGGTCGAGTTCGTCTTCATGCAGAAGAACCACACTGTTACGCAATCCACATTCGCCAACCCTTGTGTAAAGATGGCTGGAGGTATCGACTCAGGCTTCCTGCCAAACCCTTCGGGAAAGCCCGGCGTCACGTTCCAGATGACAGTTCCGGCCACAGACCCGATGTGTAAGTCGCCCACCGTAGCCCGACTTCCATGATGATCATAAGCTAATAAGATCAGGGTTCTACTGTAAACAAAAGAACGGCACCCACTGCGGCAAGGGCATGGTCTTTTCCGTCAACGCCGTCGAATCTAGCGAGAAGAATTCGGCTGCCTACAAGCAGCTCGCCATCGCGCAGAACGGCACTGGTCTTCTACCCGCCAACATCGCTCCCAGCGGCGGCGCCTCAGCCGCTCAAGCACCGCCTGCAAGCACCGTCACCATCGCCGCAGGAGCATCCGCCGCTGCCACTATCGCTGCTGGCCAAGGGCAGACGGGCGATGGACAGGCGTGCTCGTGCGCGTGCTTGTGCGGCGCCAACTCTTTCCCGCAGGCTGCGGCAGTGAACTCCTTCGGTGGGTTCGCGGGTATGCTGTCGTAAACGTCTTGACGAACATGGGTTGTGGGAAAAAGACGGGGCTAAGAATGGGCAAGAGGTGTAATGTCATGCCAACAGCATTTGAAATGGAATGTTCAGTTCTGGAAAGGCGCCGTGGTTGCTGTTGAGTAGCAGACTGACCCTGGTTCTTGGTGGTCTTCGAAGTTGGAGGGATGGCGTTTTATGCATTATACCGTAATTGCTCTTGGAAGGCGCATTGATTGTGCGTCTTTGTAGAAATAAGATAGATCTTGAATGGGACGAGTTTGAGACACATACTTTCCAGTTGGATGGACGACTGAGATATATGGAGGAAGTCTGATATCAACACGTATCCAGTGCAAACTTGGATGGCAAGTTGGGAGGCACAATGAGGAACAAACCTAAGACTCCACTTTCTTCTTTAATACCGCGTTGGGGATATCGTCGACGCTAAGGCGGCTCCCGCGTTTCGTAGGTTCTCATCTATCGCTAAAACTGCAGGATCAAGCACCGTCCGAAAACTCCGCATCCCACACCCTCATCTACAACCCCACTCGACCCCGTTATTGAAGCTCTAGTCTAATCTCACGCCCCACTTCCCCCATAAAGCCGCGCTGGCATGGCACATGGATGGAGTGCATGCGTCGGATCGGACATGGCAATCAGGCCGTCTAGGTCGAGGCAGAGGCCCCGGCCTTCTTCTTCTCTTCGGCTGTTCGAGACACGTATTAGCCTCGTCCGGGGTGGCCCCAACCTCCAAGCATATGTATCCAGGGCATGAAGTCGCATTTGGAATCGGGGTATGAGTCGAAATGGATGAGACGTACCTGCGATCTGCTTGGCGCGCATGATGGCGGCCACGTTCTCCTTGGTGCGGGCGGCTTCGGTGCCGGATTGCTGTGGCGGTGTTAGATACGGCACTGGCGCTGTTGCGGTATGAGATGCAATGTGATGAATGCGCTGGCAGAGTCGGGTAGTGGGTGGAGGTTTATACGCGTACCGTGTTCTTCTTGCCCTATAGCGGTGTTAGTATTGATATGGAGGTGGTCGTGGAGTAGGAGGGCGGAGCTTACCGCGCCGGCTTGCTTCTTTGCGTTCTTTTCGCGGGCGTTTTCACGCTGATTACCGCGGGCCATTGTTGCAGAGAGTAGGCTGGCAGTTGCTGGAAGGATTCAGGGTGCGATCGTCACGGAGGCAGGCCGTAAGGCTGAGTTGGAGAGGTGGAAACTGTGGGATGAGGAGGAAAAGGCTATCGGGCTGATAAAAATAGGCGGGAAGAAGGGTCTGGCTTTGTCCGCCGTCGCCCAGTCACATCGCGCGCAGCCACGACCAACCTCACCGCTGCCCGAAGAAGTCACAAAGACGCCAGAAATGCCGTTTAATTCTCCGGCGCTGTTCCAAGCTTCTCCAGCGACGCGAGGTGAGTCGAGCGTGAAGCCTGGCTCTTGCCGCCCAAGGATCTGCTGCCCGTGATCTGTTTTAAGAGGCCTGAAACACCGCGGCGCGTCTCTCGCGGGCGCGCTGCATGCAACCGCAGCCAATGCTTCCGCGATGCCTGGCCTGCTGCCAAACCTGCCTCACTCGACTGCAGCCGGCCGCCCTCAGGCCTCGACGACACTGGCCTGCCCACGCTGCGCAGAGGCAGCCCCATTGCCCGCTGGCCTGGATCCCCGTTGCTCCAGCTTTTTGCCAACCCTCTAGTCTTCGACCGGGAGCGATTCCCGCGTTTCAGCGTGCATGCTGCCGAGTGAGAGGCACCTGTGGAGGCATGTAGGCCACTCATTTCTGTGCTGTGACTGAATTGGCCATCGTGAGGTGGCCCTCGCAGGAGCGCGCCCGCGCTGCCGTACTTGGTGAAAATGCCACCCCACCCCATGCTGGATCCTTCTCTTCTTCCTATTGTCATTCTCTTCCTATTGTCTCTTATCGATACTATTGAGCGGCGGCCAGAAAGATTCCTTTGCCGTCACGGCTCAGGACTTCTCCTCCTCTATCATCACCACCAGCTTCTTTCTTTCTGTCATAATCTACTACTCTACACGACCTCGCTCTGTAGCTTTCCTTGCAACCGCTCGACGCGACCTCTCCACGACTGCCGGCCAGCCCTACTCCACAGAATCATCACCTTCACCGATACCCAGTCCGCACGATGGCTCTCCTCTCCACCAAGTCTCTGGCTGGCCCAGGATACATCATCCTTAATGTCATCCGCGCCTTGAACATCATTGCCCTCGCCGCTGTGGTTACAGGCAGCTTCGTCATGCTTGTCAAGACGTTTGTGGTCTCCAAGGTATGTAAAGCTCTGCATTTCAAGGTTGAGACCATCGAGAAGTTGAAGCTAACATTGTCCAGTTCTTCTTCTTCGATGCCGTCAGCCATGTCATCACAGCCCTCACAAGCAGTAAGTTTCAGCTTTGAAACCCAAATCTGAAACCCATACTAACGCCACGTCAGTGTTCCTCATCGTCTCCGAGTGCTCGCTCTTTCGCAGCTTCTACGCTCGTAACTGGCCACTGCTTAGCCCAGCCCACGGCTTCGTTGCTCTCGGCTGCGCCATGATCGTCCTTGGTCTCAACATCCTCGGAAACATGAACAAGGAGGCTACCAGCCAGGACTCGTTGGGCCTGCCCTTCTGGCGCCTGGTCCTTGCATCTGGCATCCTTTGCTTGGTCATTGGCTTCTTCAACGTCGTCGCCGTAAGTCAAGTCCACGGTCCTCAACTGATGCACAACGGCATTCTAACCCACCCCAGAGCTACGTCTTCCGCGACTCCAGCCGCGGCATCACAGCCCGTCGCGTCCGCTCCCACGGTGCTGTCGCCCTCACCGACGCCGAATCAGCCCCAAGCATCGGCAATGGCAAATCCCTCAGCATCAACACGCACACCACCGGCTCCTCGTCCTCGGGCACGCTGCACCACATCGAGCTGACCTCACCCACCAACGTCAAGGAACCCCACCGGACCTTCTCCCCAGCCCGCACCTTCCGCAACGCCCGCAACTCCATCCTCCCATCCTACCACAGCTCATCGCCGCTGCGCGTCTTCCACTCATCCTCTAATTCAACTGATACGTCGCCGTCGAAGAAGAGCAAGCGAGGCAGCACCGGCCCGCGGGTCCCGATCAATATCTCGGCGCCGCTGAATGTGAATCCGCAGTTTGCGCATTTGGTCCGACCTGACATGGCACACCACCCCTCTCATAGGAGCCCGGTTGATCGTTCGGAGACTGGATTAGGGTTCTAAGTAAAAGAAGCCTCACTATGGAACACAACGTTCTAAGATCCTACCTACTAACTCACCCGTCGAGATGATATGATTCTGTGGCAGTGTGGTTCGGCTCGGCGGTTATGACTCTTCATTCCTTTCTGAATGCTCTTGCATTACTTCTTGACTTTCTTTACGACCTTTCTTTTCTTCTTGATGGCTGCACGCTGCTACGACGGGGGGTGTCGCAGTCGTAGGGTATATATGGCGCTAGTAGGATCCGGGGTGCGGGTGGGATTTGCCACTCTTTTGATGAGTATGATTCGATACCAGAGATTGATTGAATTGGGCTGGACGGTCTTTTCTGATCACGAGTGATCTGAAGTGGAGTGGATTGAGAGGTTGGGTAGGATATGGGTACAGTTACGACGACATGGAGTTGGAAAAACGAAAAACCTTGGTCGATGTTGAGAAATGAAAAGATTTAACTTCATATGGCTTCTTGAGTGAGATGGGTGTGCTGCGATTCCGTTGAAATTCGGACCGTGAAGTCCAAACACAAGATCGCTACCTCCTATATTCTCTCAGAACCTATGGTTATATACCTTGTTATTCCTCGCTGCCTTCGCCCTTCGGGGCCCCTCGCGATCGTGGCTCATAACCCGATGGTGCAGTGGTGCAGCGTTGGTTCATGCCTGTGAGGTACCCAGCACAAATTCGTCCAGAAAAATCCCTTACTAGGGGGTTTTTGTAGGGCTTCGGCCTGAGTTTTTTTTGGGAGTCTCGCCCTCTCTCAATTCCCGGTTCGACACGCGCTGCCCTCAATCACACACGTATCTTTTTGAATGCGTGATGATGATTTGTTGATTATACATAAGATGTATCGGTGTATCATATCTTCTACCCCCCCCACCACTCTCCTCCCAACTCATTCCTCCTCAAGCTCCCTTATACCGATACCGCAACCCCTCCAACACCCCTACATCCACCGCCCGCAACTGCGTCCGCGCGAACAAGACCACCCCGTACACGAACCCCGGCACGTACCCGCCCCCCGCCATCCCCTCCCTCCATCCCCTCCCGCTACTCAACTCCCGCAGCGCCAACACAACCACCAACGTCCCGTTCAGATACACGATATACCGCCGCAGCGGACTCTCACTCTCGCCTTCGATGTCCAGGTGCGCGTGGGGGTTGGGGTTCTGGTTGCGTTGCCGCGGCGGTTTCGGTGCCGAGCTGGCGGGCGGGAGGGGGAGATAGTAGAGGATGTAGGCGGCGGCGAGGAGGGAGGTTATTGTGAAGAGGGCGGATAGCCAGGAGCTGAGAGAGGTGGGCCGGAGCAGGGTGGGGAGGTAGAGGAGGGTTGGCGTGAGGGGGAGGGAGAGGAGGAGGCGGGTGTAGAGGAGGGTTTGGGTGGCGTCGGTGGTGGAGAGGTGGGTTATGAGGGTTTCTTGTTCTATGGTGGAGAGGGGGAGTTAGTGGGGCGTTATGCGGTTATAGGTGAGAGAAGACAGGAGAGAAGGGGGAGTGGAATGAGGGAAGAGAGACAAGTTGGGCTTGATGCGAAAAGGTGAGTATAGATACCTTGCTCGTCGATGCCTTCGGGAGGCTCGTCGGAGTCGGATTCGGTAGGGTAGCGGAAAGCGTGGCGGAGGCGGGCTGTCGCCATTATGTGTTGTTCTATATCTTGAAGCTCGAGAGAAGTGTTCTGCCGGATATTTGAAGTTGGGATCCGCCTGAAGCTTGAACGTGATGACGGAAGCTACGCCTCGTGCGCCACATTTCCAGGGTCCACGGCCGCGCAAGAACAATCCCCCGACTCCATCTCCAACATCACGCATCATTCGATCCTCTTCCGCCACGAATTGATCCCCCAATTCAACCCCAACAATGCCTCCCCGAATACCGCTCCCCCGGCCGGCCCGCGTCCCACTCAGAACCGTCCCCAAGACAGCAAGGCGCACCCTCATCGCCGCCCCCAAAGCCACCTCGGGCCCCCTCCTCGAGCGCCGCGCCGACCGCGCCCTCCCCACGCTCCCAACGCGCTGGGGCTGGCTGCGCACCCTGCCCATTTTCGCCGTCATCGTCGGCGGCTCCTGCCTCGCCATCTTCAATTACCAGAAGCAGTCGTCGTCCGTCACGACGTCGACGCTATACGCGCTGCGCACGAACGCCGAGGCGCGGGAGATCCTGGGGGACGAGATTTACTTCCGAGATCGGATTCCGTGGATCAGTGGGGAGCTGAATCAGCTGCATGGGCGTATTGATATTAGTTTTGGGGTGAAGGGGACGAAGCAGGGAGCTGTGATGCGGTTTAGGAGCGAGAGGCGGGGACGGATGGGGTTTGTGAGTTGACCCGCCTACGGTGTAATATGTGGATGGGAATGAGTGCTGACTAGACTCTGATGCAGTTTGAGACGCTGGAGTGGAGCCTAACGACTGAAGATGGGCAGGTGATACAGCTGTATAAGCCTGAAGGTCCGGATCCGTTCAAGAAGATCACGTCGAGGGATGATGAAGACAAATATACGCATTGAGGAACTTCTCGTGTTAAGGCATGGGAAGTGTAAAATGTACATTATGGCATTGGGCAGGCGTTTGGGCCAGCTGACTCTTGACTCTGCGAGACGAGACGAGACGCTGTACAATACGAGTAACATATGTATAGTATCTTCGTCCTCAGAAGATGGATAATACGCCCAGTGAACTATATCCTTCCATCTAGGTGTGATTTTCATGGAGAGTTAATATATTGTAGGCACTGCATGAAAACGCTAGCGGAATCGAGAGAGCGAGTGGGGTTTTCTTGGTTTTGGTGTGGCTTTCAAATGAAAGTAGAATTCATGGTACCTCCCAGAAATGCCACAGATATCAACACCCGCTAAGGTATTCTCGAACCAACCAACTGGACTATATACAGCGGATGTAAACGCCGGAGAGAAGGCAAGAAAATCTCCAAAAAAAACATTACAAGCACATTGAGAAGTAAACAATCTAACCGGGAGGAAGAGTGCTTTGGTCCACAACATCTTGAGCATCCTTGTCTTCTATCTCGTTGGGGTCGTGTAGTGGAGATCGAGGTAGGGCCATGAGACCTGGTCATTTCATTAGCATGGTCTTATTCAAGGTGGCTTGATAGTGAAGGCTTACCAGTCCTCGCTGACTCTAGGATACCAAACGGCGCAATCAACTTCATGAAGGAGTCAATCCTCGAAGGCTTCGCTGAGACCTCCACAACGCAGTTGTTTGTGCTGATGTCCAGAACCTTTCCACCGAATTGATGGGTGAAATAAGTGATAGACTGCAGATGTTGGTGCTTGTGCCTCATTGCTTGGCTGACAGCTAGCTTGCTGGGATGGAAATCTCGCCTCAGAGCCTCACGGGCTGCTAGCTCAGCTTGGAACGCAGCATCTCCTTCCGAGCCTTCTTCGATACTCTCAACGTCTATCGGTGGTCGTTCCGGCTCCTGGACCATCTCTCGGTGGTGAGCGAGCAACTCCTCGAAGTATTCCGGGCCCAGAGTAGAGATCTTAGCGAGCAGAAGCTCACGCTGAACCAAGGGTGCTGAAGTGTAGTCCAGAACGGCCCATACAGGCACCAAGTCTTCGAGCTGGCGACGGGCTTGTTCGACGACGCCGTCCTGGCCCTGGAGCACAATCGTCATGCGAGATAGGTCTTCGACCTCAGTGTTGCACACGACCAAGCTGTCGATATTGAAGCCTCGAGCGGCAAGAATACCAGACACGCGAGAGAGCACTCCCGGCTCATTTTGCACCAGACAGTTCAAGATATGGCGTTTCGGTGGTGCTTGCGAAGGGAGTGGTGTCTCGTAGAGGATGCTGCTGACGGCAGCTTGGGCTGACCATGCAGGAGGGCGGTCTTCTGTCGGGAGGGGCGCAATGCGGCGATGCAGGGCCTTGTATTCGAGGGCTTGGGTAGAGGAGGAGCTGTGCACCTTTTGCTGGAGGAGGAATGCGGTGGTCTTCGGGCGTTGGGCGAGACTGCGGAGGGGCAGCGCCAGAGCTCGTCGGGAGGCCATGATGGCTATGCAGAGGCTTTTCGGAGGCCAATTGGGGCGTGTAGAGCCTCGCACCCGCGTGTGAAGTGGGTGAATTGAGGGTTGTAGATGTTTGCAGCGAACGGGGACGTCGGGGATGTCTGGATGAATCACACAGAAAAACCTGGGGCGCCGCAGATCGGAGCATCGGTTTGCCGAGGCCGGCCAAGCCTCGCAGCGACTCGGACCGCTCTATCTTTCGGCCCGCATATTCTACACCTGCCACTTTGCTCTTGTCACCACCTTAACCTCCACCTCACTTCTTAGCAAACATCCACACCCCAAACACTCCTACCTCCGCCGTCGTCCACCATGGCTGACGAGCCCCGTCGACGCGGCCGCTTCGACCAGACCGAGCCTACGCAGAAGCGTGCGACCAAGTACGACCGTCGCTCGCGCTCGCCGTCTACGCGCAAATCCGAGGCGCGCCGCAGTCGAAGCCCAATCCCGCGAGACGAGCCCAAGCCTAAGCCTGCCGAACCAGAAAAGAAGAGAATCGATCCGGCCGCTGCTGTTGCTGCTGCTGCGGCGGCTGCTGCGAAGATCAACGCGCAGATCGAGGCGCGCAAGCGGGCTCAGCCTGTCGACGTGCCGCCCATCCGCGCTGTATCAAGCCCAGCGGTCGCCGTCTCTCCGGGTGCCGCTGCCGCCGCTGCACTCACAAATGAAGTATATCAGCAAGATGGGGACTACATTAAAGACATCGAAGTCAACGACTTGCGCAACCGCTACACACTGACCAAAGGCGCTACTCAAAAGATGGTAAACACCCCTCTTCCTGCCCAACTGATACTCTCAGGGCCCCTATTTCCCTACCTTGTGCCATGCCTTGCTTTTAGCAGGCTGCGCGCTCATGGATTCAAGGTTTCTCCTCCTGTCACTACATTATGGAGAAGTGCTGGAGCTCACTCATCTCGCTACTCTAGCTGTCGTACATCACCCCCAAATGGCATCTGCTGACCTCGCTTGTGTGACATCTAGATTGCGGATCAAACTGGTGCCGGTACGCTCAACCACCTTACACCACTTAACGTTTGTAGAAGACCTTGCTTATTCATGAGAAGATGTCACAACTCGCGGCAGTTACGTTCCCAATAAGAGCATGGCCACTGCAGCGGTACGTGCACTATTCCCACAAATCAAGGCATGATTGAACCATGCTAACTCGCAATAGAACCCACCGCTTTACTTGCACGTTACTAGCACTACCAAGGAGGGACTCGAGAAAGCCGTCGCGATAATTGAAGAACTCATGAATCAGGAACTGCCCAACCTTGTTGACGAGCGTAGATTCCGTCGTCGCGAACCAGAACAATTTGAGCGTGACGAGCTTGGCCGGGTACAGTATATTGGTATTGCAAGCCTCGTGAGATAGCTAACAAACAACAGCGCAAGTGGCCTGAAGAGAGGATCCCTATCGACCTGGAACCTATTCCTGGATTCAACTTGAGAGCTCAGGTAGTTGGAGCTGGAGGTGCTTACGTCAAACATATTCAGCAAGAGACCCGATGCCGTGTCCAGATCAAAGGCCGTGGCTCTGGCTTCATGGAGCCTGCTTCAGGCCAAGAGAGCGATGAGGCCATGTATCTGCATGTCGCGTAAGTGCAAGTCCCACTTATGCCCATATTTGAAGTCTAATAGCGAGCAGCGGCCCGGACGCTGAAATGGTACAGAAGGCCAAGAGCCTGTGCGAGGATCTCCTTAGGAATGTCAAGCTCGAGTATGAGAGACATAAAGAGCGCGGCCCAGGCCATCGCTTCGGCGGAGACGGTTACTCCAACGGCGGCGGACGTCCCAGTTACGGAGACAGAGGTGACCGCGACCGCGGCCAGAGCCACGGCTACGGCGGTGGCTACGGCGGCTACGGCGGTCAAGGTAACGGCGGGCAACAATCACCTGGCGCTGCAGCTTCGCTGATGAGTCCAACAACTCCAGCTCCAGGCACCCCGGGTCAAAATGGAGACTACGCTGCCCAAATGGCTCAGATGACTCAGATGTACGCCGCCGGACAGGATCCGTATGCTGCTTACGGTGGCTACGAAGCCTATTGTGCGTACTATTACCAATGGTACGGACAGCAAGGTGCCCAGCAACAGACTCCGGCTCCAGGCACCGCTTCTGCGCCTGGCACAGCTCCTCCGCCGCCTCCAAGCGAGGCTCCACCTCCGCCACCACCAGGAGCTCCACCACCATCCGGATACAATGCCGTAAGTACTTTGTCTTGTTTCTCATGTCATTGAGCCTTTCTCATTCCAGGACTCGTCTTCTCAGTACGTCTGGCGTCAGAAAGACATCTGGCACCCCCAAATGCCATTTCGGGGCTTTTCTATGCACATTCCTTCCGCTCAAAATCACTCCTTCTGGAATGGACGAGCTCCGAATCATCGTTGTGCGTCTTGCAATGGCCAGTTTCTGAACGTACTTTCTGGTTCTTCGAGTTCCCACACTCTTGTGGTTAAAGTTGAAAACGAGACTTCTTTGGCTGAACCACGGAATGTCACTCCAATGGTCAAAGTTGAAGACGGTGCTTCTTTGACTGAACCGCGGAATGATACTCCTATGGTCGAAGCTGAAAACGATACCTCTTTGGCTGAACCGCCGAATGACACTCCTATGTTCGAAGCTGAGTTGCAGAACGACGATCCTGTTGTCAAAGTTGAAGAAGTTGAACACGATATTTCTATGGCTGAATTACAAAACGACACTGCTGTCTTTCAGCCTGAAGAACTCGAAGGCGTGACTTCCTTGGCTAGGCCGCGGAACGACACTCCTATGTTCGAAGCTGAATTGCAGAAAGACTCTCCTGTAATCAAAGTTGAAGAAGTTGAAGACGATACTCCTTCCTCGATGAGTATTTCGTCTTCGTCTTCTTGGTTCATTCAGCCAGCGACACTCATCTTCGAGGGCTTTGGTTCCAAGAACTTCGACATTCACTCGTCCTGATCAATGTTCTGCGGACTCTCCTTTTGTCTAGTTTTCATTTCGAAAACATTGAACTGGGCTAATTGTCGCTAGGTTCCTCCTCCCCCTGGGATGTGAGGGAATCAAATGATCGGAAGCATGCATATGCGTAGGATCTCGGGTAAAGGCAAGGTTGAGCTGAGGGTTTTGTTTTGGTTTTTAACCATAATGAGCAGGGTTGGCAGGTCTCTCTAACAGGCCTTAGTACTATGCACAAGCTCTGCCTCATAAGGTTTTTTTTTCTCCAATTGTATAGCCTACACTGAATGCTGCAGAAACGGCGCCGAGATTGCTTTTCAATCAGATTTGGCGGTTCTACCTAGTCCAGTTGTTCCCTGAATATCCTGTACGTATTCGAAGCGTGGATTGGTGAAGTCGCAAATGAGGTCTCGCGCCATGACTTGGGCACCTCGTTCCTTTGCTAGGTATGACCCAGACTTTCGCAGAGAACAGCTGAGCGTCGGAGTCGAGCCGAATTCTAGTACAAACGCGACAACTCACGAGTACTCCACAAATTTGCATTGTCGGCTGAGCTCCCCTAGAGGTGCACCACGTGGGGAAAGGACTCGATCGATTTGTCTTGCATTCAAGACTACATAGGTCATACGCAAACCTACATCGAAGTATCCGCGTGTTGCTTCGACAAACATGATGACCATATATCTCATAAATCTCGCTTAGGACTGATCTTAACATGTTATCCTCTTGGTCTCATTTGAGCGCTATGGCGAATCAGAGGCCCGAGGCACGTCTAAATCCTCAGCCTCAACAAAATGGCTCTCAGCAGAACAAGGATCAGCCCGACACTCCTAAGCCGCAAACAGAAAGAGGGAAGATGTTTAATTGAAGGAATGCGGTCTGAGATAACAGGCTACTACTTCTACCCTTCAATAGGATGGCTCTTAGCTAAATGCGTAGCAGACTAACACCGCCAAGCCTCCAACGGAAAGAGAGAAGAATAGAAAAAAGAAATAAGAAAAAGGATGTTACGGCGACTGTGTTGATTGCAAAAGGAGTTGCCAAAGGGTCTACTGAGGAGCCCGCTGAGGCATGTATCTAAAGCCTGGCAAAAGTACTGCCGAAAATGCTACACAAGCCGCTCAGAATGCGCCCGGTCTCGTTGGCGACCCGTCTGGATTTTCGGAACTGGAAACACAGCTAACCGTAAGACCACCGCCACTGCCTTTTCGCTTTCAAGCTCTTCCTCTCGAGCTAGAACAAATGGTGTACAGCTATCTAGCTTCGCTCGCAGATGGTTCGACGCATCCAACCGTTTAAAATACGTTCCAGACACGGCATCACGGGATCCGCCAAGGTAAGCTGCTTCCACGTAGAAACGGACCACTTGAAGCCGGATTGGTGGTTGCACGAAAATCCCGGGATATCAGCTTGATGCACACAAGCAAACGCATTCGGATGTAGGCCGTAGAGAAACTCTACGCTGCCCATAAGTTTGAAATATCTCTAAGATCTGTAGTCAAGGGTGGTGTATGCCACCAGTGGACCCATCTTGAGTTCGTCAACAAGAATGGCGTCCAGATCGGCCTCTTCGACAGAGATAGCTTGAAGTGTATCAGGGATCTATCGATTGCTATTTGGGCGAACGATGATCCGCGTAGCAAACAGTGCGTCGTTGATGCCATTGACGATCTTTGCGACAAGGTTTTTGGCAGCCGAAGGGCCGTCTTTGAGTCTCTTCGGATTATCTTCAATATAGGTCCAGCAGAACTAGTATGAAGTTGTACAGGCAAGGGATCGAGTATCCTGACGTGTACCTCTGGCCCCGGGACTACATCGCGCCTGTGGCTAGACTCATGCGGTCTGAGAGATTTGATATTGATGGACAAATTGCAACGGAGCCGGCGGACTGGCTCAAGGCTTGCATCTGAACAGGTGCAGGTCCTGGGCCGGCGAGATCAAGTTATGATGTTGCTGAGTTGTGGAGAGATTGGAATGCGGCGACGAATAGAAACGACGGGCCTTGAGCTTCGGGATGTTAGACAATGGAGATTATATACGCATTACAGAACCGGAATCTTGTGATCACGTTACCTTTGATCGATTCAAGTGAGAACAAGAGCATCGGATATACGGACGACAATCGTAAGGAAAAAAAGGGAGAGAATACCGCACACATCCGCAGCCACAGCAGTCGAAAAGCTAGATTGCTTCACACACGTCGGAGAGCTAGGTGATTATTGTGAGAGCGGACATAATTTTGTACAGGTGCAAGGGGACACAAGTGTGAGGTCGCCGGAGTCTAATAAGAGGTTTAGAGAGCGGAGGATTGAACTTAGGGGAAGGTTAGGTGTAGGGGAAGGTTAGGTGTTTAGGGCAGCAGGTGGAGTTACCGGTAGAGGTGAATGCTTGCTGGTTTTAGGATGTTTTTGGGTTTGTTAAGTTGGACTTTTTCGCTCCTCCATGCTTTGAGGACGAGGCTTATCAGTTTAGAGATGGAAATAGATACCCAGGGAGTTCCTGAACCAATTTGGTTGTGTTACGAAGCGGGGATGTAGAACACGTCATTTTATCGACTGCCAGGGCTGGAAGCTATCCCTCGAAACCAGCCAACTTTTGAAGCACAGGAGCAGTTTAAATACTAGGTCAAGGATTCTTGTCTGAAAGTGGTAATCTTAACACGGTGGTTTCATGGTAATTTTGATGCCGTAAGCACCGGCCTTCTTTTCGCCGATATCTGATCCTTCCCATCATGCCACGAGCCAAAGTGACGCCACCTCGAGCATCCTCTTTATGCAGCGTAACCACTTTCAAGATCAAGATGTCGCTTCCGAACATCTGGCATCACCGCCGGGTGGCTGATAGCTCCGCCAAAGCTTGCTGGATCTGCTACAAGCCCACCCCTAGCGTTCTTATTACACCAGATAACAAGGTAATCCTGTCCAGCGAGGCTGATAGACGACATACTTATTGGTTTCAAGGATTTCTTTTATATCTGTGTTGGACATCTCAAAGATCGGCAGTTTTGCCGAGCTGACGAAGATGAGGCTGCGGCTGCTGCTGCGGCTGCTGCTGCCAAGAAGGACAAAGAAGAACTCGATCGTGAGATTGAAAAGGTGAAGCAAGAGTACGAAGAGAAGCAGAAACGAAAGAAAGAAAAGCGGAAAGAGAAAGCAAAAGAAAAGGGCAAAGACAAAGAGAAGGATAAAGATGCCAAGAAAGCTGACGATGAGGAAGACACCAAGGATGAGAAGGCAAAGGATGACAAGGTGAAATAGCACGTTCAGTTTTATTAGAATTCGACTAATGACTCTTGATACAGGTCAAAGAGCTATCCGAAGCTAAAGATGCTCCAAAGGCGGACGATGGACCACGTATCTATTCTTTAACGAAGTACGCTCCTTCCTGGCCTCGAACCCGAAGCATCACCCACCGGCGACTAACTTTCACATAGGAACTTCTACCAGATGCGTATTGACCGCCTCCGAAATGCTGAAATCGCGAAGCGGAATAGAGAGCGCTTGAAGAACCCTACCGCTTTCCCATCTGTGCCTAGTACTTCGCCATAGCCTATTCCTGGTCGCTAACGTAGTTCCCTAGTGAGCTGACCACCCGAGCGAGCTGGCCACCCCATCATTGGTACAATTTGGACGTTTTAGAACCCCAGCAATCTCAACAACCATGAAATATTTCAGGCTGTGACTTAGAATGATAATATACGTGGCTATTTTAAGAATGTATATCCTTTTTTTAGATCTCTTAAGAGCCCTGTTTAGCCATAGCAAAGTTTTGGTTAGTTTTGGCCCCTAAAATTAGGTAATACCTACAATCCAATCGAATTATGCCTCTATATTGCTCTAACCTTTCTTTTAGCTATTAGGAAGAGCTAGATAGTATGTAGAACCTTAAAACTGTACTTTATATTTCATGGTTGTTGAGATTGCTTGGGTTCTAAAACGTCCAAACCGTACCAATGATGGGGTGGCCAGCTCGCTCGGGTGGCCAGCTCACTAGGGAACTACGTTATCAGTTCAATCTGTCAATTACCTCATTCACGGCGACGGCCAAATCTCTTAGCAAACCCTCCCGCTCAAATGCCACCAAAGGATGCTTAAGTTCCTTACCCCAGCCCTAAGATGCTTTCTTAGGGATAGGATATGCAGTCAGCATTTAGCGACCGACGCGGGTCTCAGGTGGTGTCATACCAGAACGGCTCTGCGTTGTCTCTGCTGCACATCGGAACTCTTGGGAGCGAATGCTGATCCGCGTGCCGGGATAGATAGTCAATCGGAGCAGATTTCTCGGGGAGTATCCAAACAGCAGCCGCTTATCTAGTCAGACGACAACATGCTGACTGCATGCGGGGAGAACTGCGGGGGTCCTCCTGTCGTTGCACAGTTAGTCGCTTTTCTACAAGAATCTGATCATTTTCAAAAGCCTAATAGAATGAGGCCGGTGCAGAGGAGGTCATGGCTGTCTCACTGAGCGCTTGCTTGATCCGGAATCCTAGGAGCACACTCGCAATGTTGCGGAGATCCTACGTTAACATGCTCATGTTCTTTTTGAAGCCATCCGTGCTTCTGCACCCTGTTTGTCTACTCTGATATTATCTTCTCTTATGCTTCGCAAAGTTGGAGCATTTGCCTAATTTAGCATACTGTGGAAGCATATGATTCTCCTATTGCACATGCAGCACTTCATACCAGCTATGTCGCTGCTTGATCGCATACACATACTCAAACTTGATTCCCCGCATTCAATCTTTCCATAGCCGGTATGATGTCGAACTGCCAGGGTGCGAACTCTGTTTTCTCTTCAACCTTTCCGTTGTGCCTGCAACTGAGGCGGACAACTAGCCTGACGAAGATATCTATGAAGGGGCCGGCTCTTGAAACTTAATCTCAGGCGTGTCGTCCTTTGAACAAAACATCGCGCGCCAGTGGCATACATACTCGCGCTCACCGCTTATACGGCGAGCAGCAATGGCCAATGCGCAGCCTCTGCGGAGTAACCGTTCCTCGTCTTATCAGGGTGCTTTAACCCGGTTGCACGAAGCGGCGCCAAGTGCTCTAGATTGGCAGGCCAGGATCATGGCAGGACTCAGAGACAAAGGCCACAAGGCAATAGATATTAGGCACCTCATCATTTTTCTACATCGCTATCAATCTAACTCAAGACAAGGACCCATTCTCGCTCAAGGAAATGACCTTTCAAGTCTCGAAGCCGAGGATCTTCGGCAAGGAAGACAGCCCTTTCATACCGATTGGACTCAAAACAATACACCGCATGTGGTTGAACCATCCACAGCGTCATGCGCGGTTGGGTTTAGCAACTCAGTCACAAAGCTAGCAGGCCCTCCAACGCCGAGCACATGGTTACAGCGGCGCTCCTAGCTGATGTGTCTTCCCGAAAGCTTGATATATGGAAATGATCCCCAGCAGCCATTCGGAGACAACTGTCCGATTAGCAAACGCGCAGTACGACAGAGATTTCTTCTCTGAGCATCTAGTTTCTCGGCGTAGCTATCACAGCGGCCGCTTCAAAGCGACGAAAACTAATAGAACGCCCGCAGGCCTGCAGAATTGATTAGCGCCTCCAAGACCTTTCTAGCGTCGTACACTATGGTACTCGAGGCGGTCAGGAAGCAGGATGCCGCCAAGTCGCCTCTGCCTTCCTTCTCTATGTACTGAGCAAGGCCTCGTCCGCTTCGCCAACGACAGGCTCCACAAGTTTACATGATAGAATCATACGACCAATGGCGGGCTTGCAGCGAACTTAAGAGATCGCAGAATCCCGGAACGGCACGAGGGACAGACGCCACGCCACCTGGCATGTGGATCTTGAGAGTTGTTTGGACGGGGAAGGGGCTCCAAATTCCGCCATGCCATGCACCCAATTCTACAGGCTGCAGGACCGCGTGGGAGCGTATGGTATCACGATATCAGCGTTTTGGTAATGGAAACGCATGGCCACTCCTTACTTCGGCAATTACTCCAAGGCGAAGGCCCCTCCACATCCGGCCTGAGGTAATGGATAAAGCCTCGATGCCTAACCGAGACCCTGGAAGCGTTTATTCCTGCTGATACAAGGGGGCTACCTGAGCGGGCTGCCGCCCTCCCTGCAAGTTTTAGGCTGTAGTATAGTCGTACCCTACGAAAATACTGTGGATACGACTAAAATGCCACCCAAAACGGAGGGCGGCAGCCCGCTCAGGTAGCTCCCTTGTACATACAAGGGGGTAACATGAGCGGGCCAGCAGCGCTCCCTGCTAGCGCTGGGGCTGCTTTAGCCGTATGAAGCATAGCTGTTCGTATTACAAATATG